AATGGTCATCTTGACTATGATATATTGTGTTGTTGCTTTAGATTGTCAGATCTTTTATATTCATTCTTTGTTTTGATTAAAATTTCAATAAAACCCCATATTTGCGTTTATAATTATACAACTTAATAAGCAGGAAATTATATTCTCCCTGTAGTTTCCCTTACAACGACATTTGGCCGTTCTTCGCTTCCATCAAACTTTAATTAAAAGCTTAGCCTTGTTTTTCTCTGGATGTCATTGTTTGAAAGACAGTTTCATGAACTCTCAGGCCAAAAACAGCTTTCCACAACAGCATATTGAAGATATAGTTTTATTAAACAGTTACATCTACAGAACTATTCTTCCACTGTAAATGTGTTGGAGAAGCGCCTTGTTTCCCAGGAACATTTCTGAGCTGTACAGGAACTGGTGCATTTCATCTTTCTAACAGACAAAAAACCAGCTGGTTGTTTAGACAAAATTTATAGTGTATAGTGAGTGGGTTTTTAGTACAAAATGTAATTTCAGTCAGTGCTGATGTCAAGGACAAAACACTAAAGCAGTGATCAGTTATTAAATGTGTCGCTAAGGTGAAAAACTTAAGAATTCACATTACAATTTCTTCACTATACAAAAACCACATGAAGACTGTAGTTACACCAGTTAAAGCCATACTGCCAGTATTAGGCTGGAATAAATCACAGCATTTCTGCTGATCTGGTTTTACTAACTGATGCTTAAAACCACAAATTGTCACCAGGTTATTCTGCCAACGTTTAAAAAATAGATGATAATTTTCTCTTGATACACCAAACGTGTCAGACAGGTTTACGGTACTGTGGCTGGCTGGCATGTGTTGATCCAGGCAGCAAATGTGAAAAAACGTGTACTTTTCCTGAAGAGTTGACGTGTGTTGACGCTGGAATATACAACAAGATCAAGTAAAATGTATTTATACAGCCCAATATCATAAACCACAAATTTGCCTCAGGGGGCAATCGGACCAGCATACAGCCTTTGTCCTCGATTTGGATAAGCCCCCCCCCCCAAAAAAATGGTAAAGACCTGAGTGTGGGCTGAAAACTGAGAGCTGGTGCTTCTATACACACAATCCATCTCTGGTCTGGTGTTTGTTGCTCATTAGAGAGAGAGAAAAAACTAATGACACTGCGTCTCCTACCCAAACTCTTCCTGGTTTTCTCCTTCTTTCAAGTTGTTTTTTAAATACATTTTTCCATCCAAGTGTTTTACAGGAAGAAGTGTGTTTTGTTTCACACGTTTTGAGCTAAGCTACGCTAAAATGAGCAGCTTTTTTTATTTCACTTTCTTTCTGCGGTTGTGTTTATAACGCCTTTAACTGCTCTTTTGTCTGCATGCGCCAATCCTAATGACTCCAGACTTTGTTTGGCATTCTGCAAAGGGGCACACACAAAAACACACCCATGGGAGTGTTGGAAGCCCTCGTGCAACACATTTTCTCGTGTGGAGGGTGGTGGGCTTTAATTGGTGGTGGGCGGAGCTTATTCCTCTCGTCTGGCAACCTCCCTGAACTTTGTCTATCAGCGAATAAATCTGGCGATGGAGCAGAAAGGCGACTAATGTAGCCAACAGACACAGTGGCAGCATACTTAGAAGAAGGAGAGAAATGGATGGAGGAGGATAACAGGGAAGCCATGATCTGACGGAGATTCGATACATGTGTTGAAACTTTGGGACCTGGATTATCAAAATGCACCAGTAACCACAAGTGTTGCCAAATCAACAAGGACTGGAATCTTACGGATTATAAATTTAACATGATACTTTTAAAAACGCAGTAGAATACATGAACAGAATGAAATGAGAGATCAAGAAAGAGAAGAGAAAAGAGTAATCGAGGGAACAAGTGCAATGCTGCAGAGCTGCAAAGAGACAGCTGTGGAAACAGAGAGAAGTGAAGAAAGGAGTGTGACCGAAAGAGGGGAGAAAGAACCATGCAGAGAGGAAGACAGGGAGGGGTGAGAAATAACAGCAGAAAAAGATAGAGAAAAACACGAGTGGAGAAGAAATCGTACTAAAGTCGGGGGGAGGGACACAGACAGAAGAGGAAAAAGAGGGGAAGACGACATGGTGTGCCGACACGGTGGTCCTCAGACGTCTGCTCGTCCTCCTCTCGTCATTCACTCTTTTCCCCTCGCCTCTCATTCCTCCGTCTGAAATGCCGTCTTCCCATCTGTTTTTGGCTTCTCTGTGTTTCTCAGTGTGTTTCGGAGAAGGAGGAATCCCGATTCACCATCACTTAAAGGATTAATTCGCCTGAAATGGAAAAGTCGAACATGATGCAAAAATCTGCTCAGCAGGAATTTGTTCTTTATGACACATTTCCAGCTAAATGACCAAACTACTCATGATCTTTATTTATAACTGGGGTTTCATCAAGAAGCAAGCTTTTACATTCATCTTCACAAATCCTGAAAATGAAGGCGGTGTTTCAATTACATACTGTTAACAACATGCCACACTGGGATAGTCCAAGACCAAGCATCATATAATTAGACAGTGAAATGTAACCACTGAAACTAAATGAGCGGTTTTACTATTAAAGCATTTTAACATCCTCAATTGTCAATCCATTCTCATTCCCAAGTCGTCATATTTGGTCTCATGGTCAAGACCTCTTGCCGTCAGTTTCCCAAGCCTGACGTTCACGCAGGATATCGGTGTTGGTTTCCCATGTGAAACAAAAAATCAATATTGTTTGTTTTTAGGTAAATTACGTAACTTATGTATCTTACATAGATTATATAACCTACATCAGTTACATAACTAACGTTACTTAACTTCCATATGTTAAGTCACGTAAAGGCTCGTGCAGACTACACGACTTTCAGCGTCGTCCGACCACCGTGCTGTTCACACTACACATCTTGCCGCCTTGTGATGGGAGTCTTGAAGTCATTGTGGCGTTCATTCTACGTGACTGATCGGTGACCAGGGGTCACACACTACACGAGCTGACAGCGACTCTGTCGCCCGACAGCTGGTCTCCAACCATGTTTTGTTAAGAAAACACATGTGAAATGTGAAACAGGAAATGATGTGAAACTACACACGAAAGAATCTGGGTTAAAGAATGGACCAGCACACGCAGGTAGCAGGGACTGTCTGAGCTACAGAGAACTGGAGGGGAGTAAAATGTGTTTTGCAGTGAAAAAGTAGCTGCCTGCTCTCATTGGCTGGATGTGGATGTTGAGTCACCGACTCTTCCAGATATTTGGCATGCTAGGTATCTGGCGTCGGCGATTTGTCAGAAATGTGTCGGGGAGCCAGTGAGTAGTTCACACATAACGACTGGCGACCGCTGATCGATTTTCCCCTGATCACAGCCTGACGGCCGAGCTCACCAACTGGCAAATCAGGCTTAAAATCGTGTAGTGTGAACTAGGCTTAAGTAACATAGTTACTTTAACCCAAACCATGATGTTTTCTTAGACCTAACAAAGTAACAAAAGGGCGTTAAAACGCAACCCCAAGGGGTCTTGACCAAGCGTTCATATGTGACGAATTGGTAGTGACAATGTTTTGCAATTGTAGTCGTAACTAAACAGTGAACAGATATTATTGTCTCATATTACATGTAACCATTACATAGTTTGTCCACCAGAGAGAACTGAGGGGTTTATCCTCATTAAATGTTTTGGGTTTATGTAAAAAAAAACAAAAAAACAAGTAGTGGACAATATGTCTTCATCAGATTTTTTAAACTCTCAAACATAAGTATGCTACGAGTAATGCTTCAGAATTAGCTAATGCAGGACATCCAACTCAACATTCGCTAGGCCTGTGCCCACAGGATCTGCAAACATGTTAATGTATCCAACACATTGGACGGCGCAGGATCAGGGGAGAAGTGGCAGCATTTTGTCATTGCGAGTTTATTTGTCTATAGATCTAAATGATTTAAAGATGGTTTCTAGTGGCAACATAACCAAATCGCCTTCGGGGGGCTTTCAGCTCATGCAAAATACTGCATCTGTAGGCTATTTCAGATATCTTTTCCTTTTCCTTTCTTATTTCTTCTTTTCAAAACTGCTTCTTTGGTGATTTAATTTAGTGACACCTGTTGCCATGATCATAGTTCCTAAGATGAAGCACAAAAACGCAATTTCCTCCTCCTGATTCTTTCTACAAAAAATCATTTTATGATAATTTCCATTTTGGTAAGTCACACATCTCACTCCATTAAACAAGACGAATTGAGACAAGAGGGAAGCATCAATATATCAACACTGGCTGCCAGCATTGACCTATTATTACTGTGGGACAGATATGAAGCTGCCTGTGAAATTAATATTTCTGTGATTGTTTTTTTGAGGACAGTCCAGCTGTCACATTAACTACAGAACAAAAGCATCACGGTTTTTGTGTGTGCACAAATATATGAAAACTCTTTTCATAGACTTTTATCGGCTTACAAAAAAATGATAAGCGACCTGAGAAAAGTCACTGAGAAAGTTCCTTCCGGAAATTGATGTTTCAGCTCGCTATGGAGGCAGAAGACCCGGGGGGAGGACGGCACTGTGGGAAAAAAAGGAGTTCCCCCTCTGTCTCCAATCTGTCTGTGTCTTTGTTCCAATTGTTCGTCTGTCTCTCAGAGTGATGCTCTTCACCCCAACAACATATTCATAAGGAAAGATGGAGGGAGACAGTAGGAGGGTGTAAAATTGTACATTTGGATACAAAATGAACATGTGAAGTTATTATTTATGTTGTTTTTATGCATCCACAAGTGCTTCAGTAGACTTGAGATGCTAATAAGTGCCAGTCTGATTTAGAGGAAAAAGAACGGGCAGAGAGAATGAAAGCAGAGCAGCCAGCCAGGGTTTTCTAACTCCTCTGATCCACCCACCTTCTCCCCCTGCTGCCATTCTACTGCTCCTGCTGACCGGGGAGGAGGAGGAGGAGGAGGAGGAGGAGGAGGGAGAGGGATGCAGGGAGAGTACACCTTACCTCCCTCCCTCCCTTCCTCTCTTTCTTTCTTCCTCCCTCTGTCTCTCCCGCTTCACTCCACAGCGACAGCAGCGCTCACCAGCACACCACAACACACCACCGCTGTCGCTGGCACGCTAACACACACACACTCACACACACGCACGCACGCACACACACTGAGCGGCATCCTCAGCACAGACCGAGACGCCCTTGGACTGCTGCAGGCGAGGTGAGTGGGTAAATATTTGAAACCACCTCTGTGTGTGTGCAAGCTGTGTTTGAGTGTGACTGTGTGTGTATATTGTGTTAGAGTTTGTGTAAGTTGTGTTAAGTTTGTGTCCCTGCATTGTGTATTTTGTGATTCAATGTGTGTGCATGTTCTCGTGTCTGTTAATGCGTGTGTGTTGGCTGTTTGCATGTCTGCATGCTGGTGTGGTTTACTGCATGTGTGTGTGTGTGTGTATTTATGAGGTACACCAGAGCCAATGAGACTAGTTTTTTTTTTGCACCAGACCAAAACAAATCCACAAAATAATGCTGACTCTCTTTCAGAAGTATGTGTGTTTTTGTGCAGGCTTGCATGTGTGTGTGTGTGTGTGTGTGATCCTGGAAAGGCCAGAGTCTGTCTGGAAACTTGTCAGCTGTTGGGAGATGTGTGTGTGTGTGTGCGTCAGAGAGTGTGCGAGTGTGTGTGCATGTAAACTGGAGAGGTAGAGGCTAACATTCGTGCCAGTGCTACTTGTCAAACTGTGAATTCTGTGGTTCTAAACGGTTGCAGAGAATTACAGGATAAATTCTCCCCAAGTCTTGCCAGTCAAGTTTCACTTTCAAAACGTACTAAACTTACTCTAAATAGTGTGCAAAAGTGTCATCTACTTGCACGAGAGGACTCCTGGTTTTGACATCAAGCACATTTAAGATTAATATTAAAGATAGGAGTCACTTCAGATGATAACTCAGGGGTAGTTATCAAAATATCAGGGTTAGATGCCTATAAAGGAAAGATTTGGTAATTTGCAGTTGAAAAATGTCTAGACGTCAAAGTTAAAATGGTTAAATTTGGTTTAAAAGTTTGCCAGTTCGTTAGGTTCACCTCGGTAAAATGATTGCAGTCTAGAACAGTCCAAGTTTTTGTTCAAACTGTTGTAAAGCGGTGCTGATTCAACTTAATGGTTATTTTGGAGGCTGAAGTTTGTTTTATTGTGTTGTACTGAGAGGTGTGGTAAACATTAACTACTCTACCCTCACTAATAAATAGGATGGACCAATAACATTTAAAGGCAGTTGAAATAAAAGCTGTTGAAATAATTAGTAACCTAGATGTCAGTTTCATGTCAGGTAAACTTGAAGTTCACACATTCAGAACCATTTCGGAACGTATTGTCTTCAATTATTACACCAACACCTTCAATGATCAGGCTACGTGCCATGTGAGGAGCTAATCCTGAAACTTCTGCAAAACTGAAAGAATAAATGTAACTGGAAATCTGACAAGTAGACGAATTTAGGATTTAAGTAGTTGGCTGAACTTCCATCTAAGTTTGTCACTGTGAAATGAATACATGTGTGCAGCCCTGCCATGTCAAAATGTTTGATGGGACTCAAATCACATGTTACCCTTACACCCTAAAGGCATACATCATCTGAAATCGTTTTTTAGTGCGAGACAAGTTCCTACCTGCAGAAAGTGGTAAGCAATGGCAGCAGATTCTAAAAATAAGAATTTTTTATGCCAGAAAAAGAGTATAGACATATATATATATTTAAATATAGCTAAATACAATAGTTGCATACGTGTTTTTTTGTCCAGAGGAGAGTACGCGCAATACAGATGCAGTTTTTTCTGTTACTGAAGTTTACCTGTTTACCTCTACACCTGTTGAGCCTAGATTTTTTTTACTGTCTTTTATGAAACTATTTTCATACTGAATGTATCTGGAGGCAGTTGCCACTGTGCCGTTTGTAAATAGATGAAAATCAGCAGCACTGTGTGCTATTAAACTGCACAGACTTGCTCCAAGAAGTCTGGTGGTCAGACAAACCACTAATGGGCTCGCTTGCCTTCATGAAAACCTGCTCAAGAGTGATTTTGTTTTTGTTTCATTGTGAATGAATGTAACACTGATGAACTGAGCCCGGTTGTTTTCCTGGGAAAGCCAGCCCTGAAGAGCGAGTCAATAAATAGGTCAGAGTTCAAGTGTGAGCAATGTACCCTGGCTTCTGTTTGCCCCAGGGGCAACTAAACTCTGCTGACCCCTCCTCAACTTCTCAGACAGCCCTGCTTACTTGTCCTTTCCTTCTCTTTCTTCTTCTCACTTCGTATCTTATCTTTTACCCTCCCTCCCCATCACTTTGTCTGTCTGCTTGTCTCTTGGCTCTCTTGGTCTTTTTTTTTTTTTTGTATACAAGAGGCCAAGGACAGACCTTCCCCATTTCCAACTTTGCATGTGTACTTGAGAAGGGACTGTCGCTGAGAAAAAGAAGCGAGTTTGGCTCATGGAGCAAGAGGCAGAAGGGATGAATCTGCCCGCTGACAAGCAGACAGCCACAATAACCCTACACTCCCCCCCCTGAGTTTGACCGATATGGGCTTCCTAAGGCAGACAGCAACACACTGGGATGTGTCTAAACACCAATATGTCATACCACTTTTCCGTTTTCAAAATGTAAACTATGCAGTGGTTTTTGTACAAATCTAATCAACATAATTGCCTCAACTGTCTAACCATCAAACTCTCAGCTGAAACCATGCATATTGTGACTTTCGAAACCACCATGTGACTGCAATGTCCTGGCTTTGAAGCTGACCTGGAACATTTCCTGTCATTCTGTCTTTCCTCACTGCGAACTTGTTTTCTTGTGTTTAGGTATAGAAAATGCCGGTCAAGGTGTGTAGGTGATGTTCATTACATTGAATGTGCTTCACATGCATCACTTCATGATGGCCACTGCTTAATGCACTTTAGTGCGTGCTTGTGTGAGCCTCTACAGATTACATCATTGCAGCTTGCCTGTGGACCCAACACGTGCCTCTGAATTGTGAAACATTAGGGCGGGACTCAGCAGGTAGAGCGGATCGTTCCAATAACTGCAGTGTTGGCGGTGCGACCCCCCCGCTCCTCCTGTCCGTATGTCAAGGCGTCCTTGGGCAGGACACTGAGCCCCAGATTGCTCCAGATGGTCAGACCAGCTCACTGCCATCAGTGTGTGAGTGTGTGAATGGATGAATGGTGTGTGAGTTGAAGTTTCTATTTTGTTCCCTCTTTGGGAACAATCCCATGCTGTCAAGATGTATGTGTACAGTAGCAAAATTCTACATAAAGCACCCAGTAGTTTGTGTATTCTAATAGCACCAATCAATCAAAATCTCACAAGGATGAGAGCGTAGCAGTGTGTGCTCATTCATGGTTACAGACGGTGAGCGCAAGTTCAAAGGAGAGATGGACAGTTCATTAGGCATTTGAGATGGTTTCACCGAGGGCCTGATGTACAGAGTTGGTGTAGTCACTATGGTTATTTGGATTTCTGTCCAAGACAATCTTCTTTGGAGTCACTACAAGGTCCTTTGTCCATTCTCATCATTTTCTGTCCTCATTCAGTTTTGTCAGGCTACTAATTGAACAACAGACTCATTATTTCAGCTTATTATTATTATTTCAGTTTTCATTCAGATTGTATGATATTGATATTACAGGTGGCTAACAGTGCCTGGCTGATATCCAGTGTTGGATAAACGTCCAGTATTGGTCTGATATATCGGTCTGACTGCTCTGCTCCAGTCCAGCCTCCCAGGGGAGAGACTACTGCTGTCTGTCTGTCTGCTGAGGCTGCCAGCGCTACAAAAACAAGACAGCGAGGCGAGGGGCCCCAGGGGGCCGTCAGGGTGGGGACGGCACAGGGGTGAGGGAGGGAGAGACAGGGAGGATGAGGGGACTGTGTTTACTTTTGTCCTCTGTGCCTGCCCTGCCCGACTGGCTGGGAAAGCAAAGGGGTGGAGGAAGGAGGAAGACCCTGTCTGGACAACCAAGAGGCAACAGGCAGATTTTGTGTGTGTGTGTGTGTGTGTGTGTGTGTGTGTGTGTGTGTGTGTAAGAGACAGAGAGAGAGAGCATGAGATAGAGTACGAGATCGGAAGATGTCGAAAGATCTCCTTGGGTGCATGAGCTTGAGCATGTGCGCGCTCTCGTACATTTATATCTGTGCAAACTAAATTGTGTTTGGATATTGTGGCAAAAAAGTCAGGATGTTTCAGTCAATTAAAGACACTCTGGCAAAGTGCACCAAAATGAGGTCTTTCGGCAAAGTTGGTAGATTTTGGTAAACTAAGGGCATTTTAACAAAATTATGACATTATGCCAAGATGCTAGCACAAATTCACTTTGTAACTTGTTGTACTGTGACAAATAAATCTACTTTGTACCTTGTAGATGACAATGTTTTGGTGAAGTGAGGATATTGTGCAAACAGAGGGACATTTTGGCAAAGTGAAGACATTTCGGCAAAAAAAAATTTCAATGCAGTGAGACATTGTGACAAAATGAGGATGTTGCTGCGAAGTGTCTAAATGAGGTGGGTTGAGCAGGTTGAGGACATTGTAAAGTCAAAGACATTTTGGCCAGTCCACACCATCATGGGGCCATTTTAGGGCAAACTGTTTTAGTTTGAAGTTTACACTCAGGTTTAGGTTACGGTTTAGGTAATCTCTATAAACAGATATCTACATATGAATGCGGAATCTGTAGGCACGGGACAAGACTTTGGTATTGGAAGCGTTCTGGTTTCCATCTCTAGTCTGTTTGTAGTATTGACCAATTACGTTTGAGCATGCCTTTGCATGGAGGTAAACTGTCCATGTTAAGAGCAAAAAGGTGAAAGCCATTTGCCGAAATGCAGTCTCGCTACCCAAGTATCGGCTGACAATGATTTAGGATGAATTTAAAGTAGCCGTGATGACTAAGGTTAGGGTTATGGGGTAGGGAAAGCATGATATTGTGTCAATGATGGTCCTGTCAACTAGTTGCACAAATGTGTTTATGTATGCAGCAGAGGAGGGAGAGGGATTCTCTGTGTGAACACTGAGAGTAAGTCTATGTGTGTGTTTTTGAGTGTATAGATTCATGCTATTTGCATACCTGGACGTGCACATGGCTCAAGCTTGAGCTTGAGCATGAGCGCGCACGTTGGGCATCGTGTATGTGCCTGTGCTCAGTCACGCCACTGGCTGAGTACATACACATGTGCAGCTGCGTCTGACTATGGGACCATCTCCTCTGTGCGTGCGTGCATGCGTGCGTGCGTGTGTGTGTGTTTGGCAGCTGGCTGGGCTCCAGCTGTGTCTGGTTAGATAATGAAGTCCAGGTGCTGCTGCGCCTGCTTTAAGACACCTGTCACCAATATTTAGTGCCAGAGAAAGCCAGACTGCAAACGGGGCGAGACGAGCTGTTTGCTTATTTTAACAAGGCTGCCTAACTGGACCTGAGGACACGGGATGTACTATGAACCCCTTCCTAGAAGCTCTGTCTGTAGATGTGTGTAACTATATGTGTGTGCTGGTTCAGACATTGCGACCACGAGTGTTTCCCTGTAGTTGGCTCAAAAAGTTAAATATTTTAATAAATAGTTTTTTTTAATCCGGAAGAATTTAGAGTAAGCCCTGACGTTACTTCACAAATCCAACCACCCCACCACCTCTGTACGTGGATGCTCTTTAAATTAATTCACCCGACTTCTGCAGCCTACAAAAGGTAAACACTGATGGTAATAAACCGTTGTATAGCCGACCTATACTGCCGTTTTTCTGGTGAGGATGGGCTGGATCAGTTTAGTTTATAGGTGTTGGCTTAAACTATATCATTCAAATGAAATTACATCATTTTTTTCCTGATGGTAAACGCTACGTTTATAAATGTAGCATAGTCAACAATGATAGTGAGAAAAGTAAGCTTTGTTTTGGCACATATACTGGTCTTACTAATTCAGAGCCACCATTCTGCAGAATGCCGGACATAAGTTTTTTAGATCGTAAGCATTGTTTTTTTTTCAGTATTCCTTTAACAAATCAAAGGCTACATTGAGTCATTAAACTAGTATAAAACTGCAGAGCCCTTCAAGAGCCCCCCTTTCCAAGTGTGTCTGTGCCTGCTTATGTTATCCTTTACATACAGACATCTACATTTCCTTATAGTCTGAAGAGCCAAACAAAGGCCTACCTGTGTAAAGTCCTAGGAAACTTACCTTCGTCCTTCCAGCACATTGGGGCTTGTTTAACTTTAACACGGGCCTCTCCGCTGTCCAACTCTCGTCTCCAACACCTGTGGCCTCTCAACAGCCTGTCTGTGTCACCCTCCACCTGCCAGCGCCAGCCCACCACGGCCTGCCAGCACATTCAAATACCTGCAGCCGGCACACTGGTTTTGGCGTGAGCGTGCATTGTTTGAGAAAATGCCCTTCATTGCTGTACCGTTGTTCTGACGTGTTTAGAAACCCGAGTGCATAATGGGTTACACTTGAAGCAGAGTCTACCTGATGCTGTAATCTAGAACATCTTTCAGCTACCAGCTTTATATGTACTCACAAGATACAACTCTAATGCAGTTAAGGCAATAATGTGAGTCAGGTAGGAGCTTTCTAAACACTTTACTCTGTTTATGTAAGCACATTTATGACGCTGTTAGAGAGAGAAAGAAGACGTGCAGGGTTAAGTGAGACAGCTTGAGGCATCATGAACAATCAAGCAAGGTAAAACAAATTAGAACGCGTTAGAGGTGTTGGTAACTGTATTTTTGAACTTTGGACAGAGCTTGGCTGGCTGTTTTCCCCTCTTCCTTTATGCTAAGCTAAGTTAACAATGCTGAGACTCCAGCTCACATACTTTCAATGGGCCAAAATGTAAATTTGTATTGTAAAATCACTGAGGTAACAGTGACAGCTTTCTGCACTTCACTAAGTCTTGGGTGTGTCCACTTTCTGCTGTTTGAAACTGTCCCTGTAATTTCTGCTATGTGCTCTTGAATCTTGGATCAACGCTGATGTGATTTAACATCAAAAAACCCCTCCTCCCTGTGCAAAGGTAAAAGCCAGCAGCAGCACTTCAGGTATCCTCCCTAAACAACCACAGATGTTCTTGGAGACGAAGGATTACACTGGAGAGTCAGAAAGGAAATATTACGACCACAAATGTGTTCTCGTGGCGTAAAAAAAAATCCAACTACGGGCCCTTCTGTGGGTTTGGAAGCTGAGAAGCCTCAATTTGGAGAGGGGAAAGACATGAAAAAACACCCACACGTCTCAGCAATATTCTTTCATCCACAATTCACATAAGTGCCTGGACGTGGGTTTTTAATGCCACGAGAAGTCATTAGTGGTCATGATATTTCCCTTCATACCCTTCAGCCTTTGTTAAAGACTCATCACTGGATGCTTCCATCTAGAAACACTGACAGATTTCTGGCCCAAATTCGCTTCATTAATAATAACGTTGGCTGCTTTGTGTTTGGTGAAAACTGTCACGTGTATGATGTTGGTCTGAGTGTTGAGCACTTGAGAGGTTGCTGGTTTCAGGCATTTGATTGTCTTTCATCACAAACAGGACACAAAGCAGATTTAGGCAGAAACATTACAACACATTTGCCCAGCAGTTGCCTCTGTGTTGAAGTGATCTTGATGGTTTTAAAACTGTTTAATACGCATTAAGGGTCATAATATTTTACTACTACACATTTAGCTTGGTTCAGGTTCTTGCTTTTGGACACACCAAGCGGCTGCAGCAATGACGAGAACGGTCTCTTCAACAACCAGATATTTCTTTTTTGTCCACATATTAAACCTACCATCTCTCTCTCTGATTAACCAGGATGAGGGTGTGGTCATGGGAACAGTGTGGGGAGACGGTCATGGTCCTGCTGGGCTTCCTGACGCTGGCAGTATCTGTGGGGAACCTGTCCACAAGGGGACTGCAGGTACACGACACACAGGAAAACACTGATGACTTGACAATGTTTTCATCCTCCACAGTCTTTTGTCATGGTGTGTAATTGGTTGACTAACAAACATAAATTCTCAGACACCTTTGACTGGATTGTGATGACACCAGACAGACTGAGCTGCATTATTCTGACATTTTGGGACATATGTTAGTTTTCTGCCACATCAGTCCAGGAAGCATTTGTTTTGGTGATGTGCAGGTCAAAAGACAAAAAGACAGGGGCGCAATCTTCCGCCCCCATCCATCCATCGCCAGCCGCTTATTCTGTGTACAGGGTCGCGGGGGTGCTGGAGCCAATCCCAACATCGGACGACCCTGGACAGGTTGCCAGTCCATCATCTTCTGCGCCTACATTGTGTAAATAGTAAATATACTTGCGGCATTCTGTGCACCCATGGGCGAATTGGTCTTAAATGACATGTGGTCAGCCAATTTGTTGGTGCATTGCTATCTTGACACAGCAGAAAGAGATTGCGCCACTGACTTTAGACCAGGTTTTTGTTGGTCAGTGACGCAGTCGCTTTCTGCAGTAATTCATAAAAAGGCACAGCTCAAAGTTATCTGCAGATCAGTGAGAATTTACATTCTGATTATAGCAGGTTGATTGTGTGTTGGTGAAATAGGGTGAAGCGTCTCCCTATTAAATGAGGCACAGCAGTGGAAGTTCCTTGTTTATTTAAATCTGTCTTTTGTCACTGTTGTACATGTGCATTTGTTATGATTAAATTGTATTACCTATGATCAAAAAGTCACAACTTTGCTAACACAGTAAAACATCAATCAAGTGCAACAACACAGGAAACAGCAAGGCGTTTGTTTTGAAACCAAACAAAACCGAGTTGGCTTTCATCCACCTGGACAGGTAAACTAACATTACTGCAAAGTATGTGAAATATATTTTGATGTTGTGCTTTAGTTGGTTTAAGTTAGATAACGTTAGTTCGCCAGTTAATGCCAAGCAGTTGCTGACATTATCCGGTGCAAAACACTACAGTTGTATGGCTTTACGTAGACACTGCTGTCCACATTCACGTTCCCTGTCTTTCACTTGCCCGCATGAGCTCTCTCTCTCTCTGCTGTGAGTCTGCATCACACTTTTTTTTTTAATCAATTGCTGTTTTTTATAATTTGCCATTCATCAGGCACACCTGGCTTTTAAAAGGAAGGCGAGATGGCACTGGTTGGTTTAATTAATTGGTTATGGCAAAAACACACCGGATGACCAATGACTAATTAAGAGACTAAATACAACACCTTTGTGCCTTATGCCTCACTTTGCACCGTTTAGCAGTGGTGCAGTGGGACACGCCCTAAATGCACTTGCACCATGCACTTTGGACAATGCCCATAGATGTAAATGCAAAGTTAAAACTACAAGGTTTGCTTTACAACCAAATTCAGCCATTTTAAAATGTAAACAATTATATCCTGTTTAAACTTTTTGAAAAGCCAATGAAAGAAACCCTGTATAACCCACAGAGTCGGAACATTGCTATCATGTCACCTCATGTTCATCTTTCAGATGAAGCTGTATTTAGTGTCCGCATTTACCAGAATGTCCTTTGGACAATAGACAAACAAAACTGAGTCAACAGACATCCTAATAATCAGAATCAGAATCAAAATCAGCTTTATTTGGCAGGTATGTGTACACACTTGAGGAATTTGACTCAGGATTGTACATTGCTCACGATGTGCTTAGTCATACAATAATACAATAATAAAATCAGACACAGGCTACAGTATAAAGAACACATGTATAAACAAAAACAAAAACATCATAGACAGACTGACAAATAGTGCAATGAGCAGAATGCAAAGAATGCAGGAGTAAATTATTATTATCATTATTATTATTATGTACATGTCGGAGGTGGAGGCAGTAATCAGCATTTTAAAATATGAATACAGTGAAGAATGCAGTGTATGTCTGCCTTTTGTGCCAAAGCTTAAGCTTAAGATTGTGGTTACACAACAAAGGTCAACAGAAAGGATTTTTACTGACATAGTTCTGGAGTTTTTGGAGCTTAAATATTACTTGCTCAATCCCATCTCCAAGTGGACCACTACGACTTGTATTTGAGAAGCCCTGTTCTATTGTTAATTGTAAATTGTTGCTGTTCCATTGTTATTTTTATTTTTTTATATTGTCAGTTGTATGTCTGTCTGCGTGTAGCAACTTAACACCAAAGCAAATCCCTTGTATGTGATTCTGATTCTGATTCTACTACATAGATACAGTAAATACTTTGTCTGGCCAGTGCCAGTCTACTGTAGCTCACAAATGCTGAAGCTCTCTATAAACTTGTGCAGACTAAATCAGTTGCCACATTCACACCTGTTGACATTTTCCCTCGACGACGACATGATGTGACACATTCGGAAGGAACGGCTCCATCACAACAACACTCACCTCCTCAGCAGTGACATCGAAGCTGAGGAAAACGCCAGACAAAGTCTACTTAGATCAGAGTCACAGTGTCTCTTCAGCAGCAGGCAGAGTGGACGGACTTTTTCTACCGGTTGTCAGTTTTAGCTTCACTTTCAGTGAGTATCAATAGGTCAGTGATGACCGCAGAGCTAGCCAGAGACTTTGACAGCCAGTTAGTAGCTACGTGGATAGATCATATCAACGTTATTAGTTATTCAATTAGTTTTACTTCTTGTGTATTAATCCTGTTTCCCACACAAGAAGCCTAAACTCAATGATTTTCAAGTAGACACACAATAATTAGAAGATTTCCACTTACGCAGGTATCTCTTACAGACACCGTAATGTTCATGAAAATGTACTGGTACTCCTTTATTTAGAGGGGTATCCTGACGTGGCTTCCATATTTACTTTCACCTCAAATGTCAAATTGCAGCTGCTTTCTCAGGACTCCCCACTCTTGTTGATACTGAAAAAACATACAGAGCTCAATTATAGGGCAGGTCCACCTGCTTGGAAAAACTATGAAAGACACTGTCATTGCCATAAATGTTAATGTCATCATGTTATTATTGTAAGTCATAGACAATTTCAGGACTAAAATGTGTAATTGTTTTTAATGAGACGACTGCAATCACAAGAAAAATTACATTTGGAAAATAGATTAAAATAGAATAAAAAAAAGTCAATCAAGTTAATCAAATTAAAACTAAAAAAAGTTTAAAAAGTGGTCTGAGCACTGTGATGAGTTGCTGTCACACTGATCTGTCAGTCCACCAATCATTTACTCTTCTCTTCCTATCCTAACCCTCCTGTCTCTCTCTTTTTCTCTATACCCATCGATCTCTCCCTGTCTCTCCCTCACTTACGCTCTCTGTCTGGTATTTCCAGTGTCTCTCGCCCTCTCTCACAGCTGCTCTTTCTCACACCTTTACAAGGAGCTTATTGCACATTCCAGTGGTCACTCTGATGAATCTCTCTGAATGAAGTGACGCAGCCATAGGCCTGAATTAATGCTGCTCCTGCACATCAGGAATGCGGTAAATGCTGACCATCTTCACGCGTTGCAGCCCCAGCTCAAAACACTCAGACACTCATTTACTGCCACGCAGTGAAATTGGAGTACTACTTAAACGATTACAATCACTGCAACTGCTGTTACAATTACTACCACAACGGCTTCTACTAATTCTACTTTTACTAACTATTACCTTGATTACTACTACCTCTACCGCAGAGGTGTCCACCACTACTGTGCCACTCCCATTACTGCTATGATTACTATTATTGCAGTTTCTGCTGCTACTTTGGCTACTACTATGGCAGATGGTATGTGTTTAGGCACTTATTAACCAGGTCCAGCAATAGCAGCAGCACTGTGGGCCCGTATGAAGAAGAGAGCATTGCTCACTGTGAAGTTTCCCCAGAGAGATAAAGGTTAAAAAAAAAGAAAAAGTAAACAGCCACATGTAAGATTTAGTATGAGGATTGTGACAGAATTGAGATTCTGGACCAAATATCGCCCACATGCAACAAATCAAATGTAATCTGCTTTTAGGGAAGCAGGCCTAGTCTTAGAAGGGCTAAATTGCTGTGGTCCAGTTGAGGCCCATGTTAAACCCGGCCTCAGAGCTCAAGGTTGTGTTGTGGTTATGGTCGTGCAGCCGCATTCTGATGGATTCATCACTCAGTCCCTGGTGGTGTGTGGGCCAAATGAACTTGGTAAGCAGTGGGCCATCACCCAGTGCTGTGCTTATTGTAAATCAAACATATTATATGTAATTTAATTACACCCCTTCTTACAACATTGCAATTCAAAGAGTGAAAGTGACACAGCTGTAGAGAACGATATAAATAGAATAGTAAAAGTCCTCTGATTTGATTCCCTAAGCTGAAGAGGTTTAGATTGTCTGAAAATGTTGGCAGACTTGGATGTACTGTAAATACAAACAGCTGCTTCTCCATACGTCTTAATACTGTTAATATGACTAATTCTTCTGCTGCAACTGCCAACTGAATTACCACTATCTGTGTGTGTTTATGTATTTGTGTGTTTGTGTTTTCAGGAGGACGGCGTGGCGTCCAACAGTCTGGAGGAGGAGCTGGAGGTCACCACGTACTGGTGGGGGGAGTGGGCCAAGTGGACAGCCTGCACTCGTACCTGTGGAGGGGGAGTGATGTCACAGGAAAGACACTGCCTCAAACAGAGGTCAGCTAGTCTGCACACACACACACACACACACACACACACACACATACAGATGTGTACATCTATACATCAGGGCTACACTCAAAGTGTTTTATTAAAAGTTAACAAATGAGTTTTATTCAAGTTCAGATGTCAGGAAACTGGCTGTCCATAATGAAGCAAAACATTTCATACACTGAACACTTCTTTTTCCTTGTGGAATTCTGTGTTCTATTTATCAATTCAAATCATCCTTTTAGAACAACATCTTGCTCTTAAAATCAGACAATAGACAATAACACCTCCTTGTCATAGCAATGACACGCTTCTTGTGGTTGGACCTCTGTGTATTCTCGCAGTCTGCATATAACCAAGGTATAACTATTTATTGCAACCAAAACAAGAGTATAAGCTAAAAATGTTTGGAACTTAACAGCCAAATGCTTAACAGACACCTGTGTTAGCAGTCAAATTGTAGATGAATTTAGTTGATTAGTATGTTTGGGGTGAACTTCTTTTAAAAGGCATGGTATTTTCATAAAACAGGGCTGCGTATGCAGTCGAAAGATGCAAATATTTTTGAAATTGGGGCTACATGACCAGAGAAAACAAAACAAAAAGGACTGTGGTATTCCCTATTGCATATAAGATTAAAAACCTTCAACATCCAGAATTCACTAGGCCACCACGCCCACTCCCAAACTTCCTCAGCTCCTACAAAGAGCTGGTCAGAGCTACTAACGTTAGACTAAAATCTGATAGCACCACCAGGTAACAAACTGGGTGGGTCTGGCAAAGCGTTGTAAAAAACGCGTATTGTGTGTTCATAGTGTAACGTTGCCCTGATAATAACAAAACTCTGTCGCCATTATACTTACTCTCGCTCCACTGGCTTTGGTTGTTTTTTCCAGTTTTACGTCTTAAGCACTCCCCTGTCCATATGTGGCCTAAAGCTTTAGTGTAACGTTACATTGTGCCCCTTTCTTCTGTAAACTCAGCAACTTCATCCAACATGAAATTCACTGCAGCGCAGCAGCTCCACTTCTGTTTCCATTGGTGCACATCTACTGCCGCGGCACCACCAGTTGGCCCTGCACACCTGCTGGCGGTGCTTGACTCATTTGTGTGGCAGCCTCTTCCTCCTTCATAAGTAGCCCAGAATGTCTGATTCCACTTACACAATTAAAAAGCGTTTACTTCCATGTATATATGAACATTGCCTTCTGCCACTGGTTGATTTTGGACAGAATGTTTTGATTTGGTGAGGAGCGACCCCCTCTTGATCTGACTGTCCGTGGAGGCAGTTATACAACAAAAAGTACAATCTGTAGTCGGAACAACAGCCCTAGTTTTGCATCATCTGGTGGGCCTCTGTAAATGAGGGGAGTGCTCTGGGTGCAGGCAAAACTGAGGAAAGTTGAAGCATATAGGTTTTCCTTTCAGCTGACAGATGATAACACAACATGCATCTCAACCTGGTATTTTATTATGTTTCATTTTGATTTATATCCAGTCTTTTTAAAAATATGTTGTTATTTCTCCAAATGTTTGTTTTCTGTCTAAAGAAAAAAAGTTGCTGCTGGGAAAGACAACATGACCTGTACAGGAACTGCTAAGAAATATCATCTCTGCAACACTAAAGTGAGTTGCAGACTTCCAGTTACTTTCTCATCACTTTATTTCACATCTTTACTACAACAAACATAGTCCTTCGGACTGGCTGACGGTAGAGGACTGTGGTTGTGGCGGGCAGCCTCCAGGCGTGACTGTATGTAGATGTTTGAAAGTGAAGCCGGGTGGGGTTCAGACCGCTCATGCATTCTCAGGAAACCATCCCTGCACAAATAAACGGTTAAAAATGTTTTATTTGTATAACATACTGTAAAACCGAGTCTTAACAAGTGTGAAACAGACCTCTTTTAATGGTCTGTGCTGTCTCTCTGCACTGCAGGAATGTCCTGCGACGGGGAGGAGCTTCAGAGAGGAGCAGTGCTGGTCCTTCAACTCCCAGCTTTACAATGGGAGGAACTACCAGTGGAAACCTCTGTATCCTGGTAATAACACCCATAAAATGCTTCCCAACCTCTCTTTACCCCGTTAAACAGACCAGAGTTGACTGAGGCCTTTACTGTATGAGCTGCTGAGCCCTGCATCCAACACAGTAGCATCCTTTCTTAAAGCAAATGTTGTCTTCTGATATGCTTGAATGGTTTTTAGGTCTCTTTTCAGATGTAACTGCTGGGATGTTGTTTTAAAACCTGTTCCTAATTAATATCCAAAAGTGCTCTTGAGTCGAGAGATCCTACAACTCCAACAGTCCTCCTTGTGGTTCAGACAGAGAAGGGGTCAGACAGACGTTTGTGGGGAATGTGAGACACAGGGGAGACGGGTTTAACATGACTCCACTAATTAATAGTTTTTACAATAAATGGACACAGTGCTGAACCCAAAGAGAATCCTCATCAACTCTGCATCTCTACAGAGTGTTACAGGTAATATGTTTAGTGAAGCAGGCAGCTCTGGTAAACCAACTGTACCTATAACAAAAACACAACTATACAAGGCTGTCTGTTTACCAAATATTGATGCTTGCAGTTATACTTCTATTGCTATACAAGCATCAGTGGGATGCTTGTGGTATACTGCAGCGAGTGGTAGCAATAAAGGCAGTTGTAGTAGAAGCAATAGCTGTGCTAACAGAAGTGAATTATTTCCATTGTTATTGGTTATAAGACAGTGACCAGTGACTTGTGTTCCTCTCCAGACGACTACGTTCACATCTCTAGTAACCCCTGTGACCTCCACTGCACCACCACCGACGGCCAGAGGCAGCTGATGGTGATGGCACGAGACGGCACTTCATGCAAGTACAGCAGTTACCGCGGCGTCTGCGTGGACGGTAAGTGTGAGGTGAGTCCAGCTTCTTCTTGTTTTACTCCCCCTCAAACAGTTTCACTCCACTTTCAGTTTTCAGCACCACTGAAAGCACCACACCGAGTTTGTATGTCCAACAAACCCACAGGCAGCAAGCTGCTGCAGTACAATCTCAGCTTTCTGACTAGCAATAAAAAGTAAATGAGGTAAAAAGTTACAAAATATTCATCCTTGTATCCAAAAAGTTACACAGTGAGTCCAAAAGTGGAAAGAAGACCACAAGCTGTAAGGCTGCAATGGGTTCATGTAACACCAGCAACCGAGCAACTTCTTAAAATGGTAGAACATATTTGCTAGCTTCTGCATCATTACCATGTATTACTGGTAATTTCATTTATTTATGATTTATAGAAGTTTTTATTTTTTTAATTTATCCTCTCTGCTCCCACTTCCTGCTTTGCTGCTCAGCCAATCGGATGTGACGGAGTACTGTTTTCCTCCAACACCTTGGATAAGTGTGGGGTCTGTCAGGGGGACGGCAGCAGCTGCAGCAGGGTCACCGGAAACTTCCGCCGTGGAGCCATGACTCTGGGTGGGTCCCAAAAAACACTCTTTGTTAGACATCAATTTGAATATCTGATATTCTATCTACTCTATCTGATATACACCCAGATATTTAGTTTTAGTCATTAGGAGTGGTCAGAACAGTCTTCTTGGTTAAATCAAAAAGCATGCGATGATTCTGACACTTTCTATTTCCTGTCATCAAGGTTACTCCTTTATCACTCAAATCCCTGAAGGATCATGGGACATCCAGATCATTGAGAGGAAGAAGTCGGCTGATGTTCTAGGTGGGTACTTTTCCTGCTCCTCACATACGTAACCATTTACATTTGTTCACAAAAGACACTTGTGCGAGAACAAAACTCTCTTTTAAATGTTTAATGGAGATGTCTAATTTTAAGAAAGAGAGAAAATGCAGGCCCTTTTCTGACTCAAACCAGAGTTTGCTGTATCCAGTGTGATTTGTAACTCTCAGAGTTCTCCATTTATCTTGTTCCCCAGCTGTGACTGACCAGGCAGGCAACTTCTTCTTTAACGGGGCTTACAAGGTGGACAGTCCCCAGAACTTCCACGCAGCAGGAACCGTTTTTAAGTACCGGCGACCCATGGATGTCTACGAGACCGGGATAGAGTACATTGTTGCCAAAGGCCCCATCGACCAGGCCATCAATATTCTGGTACACTTAACCTTCTTCAATTCACCTCTCTAGCTTTAACTTTTCCTCTACATTCACCTGCTGCTTCTTCGTTGTGGAGCTAAATGTCCGATAGAGAGTGTGCATGTTATGTCATCATAGTGACTGCAGCAACTCACTGTCACCGGTTATAATTCAGGCCAGGCACCTTTGTTGCAAATCGAATCGGCTTTGAAAATGAAAATAATCTGGGGGTGTGGAGTTAGAGAGAAGTGAGCTCACATGCCTGTTCCACCCAAATCTCCAACTTTTTTTAAAAAATTGTATAGTACTCTTTTAAGGTCAGGATGATACAGAAAGTCATCTTGTTGGTACCCATCTGCACCAATTTGTTTAATTTAGTAACCTCCATAGTGTCTGTGAAGAAGAGTCTGACCTCTGACCTGCACCTGCTTGTACTGTGACTCCAAAAGTGAAATGTGCACATGTATGAATTGCAAACTACCGCCCCATTACATTGTAATATTAAACTATGGTTCTCTAAAAACCTTTAAATTACAGAAACAAAGGAATGTTTGTTGTTTTGGCCTCTGCAGTCTTTGTTAGCTCATCATAAAAATAAGAAGCCCAAGAATTAAAGCTTTAGGCTACTGTTCTTAACTCTTAAACGTAATAACGATCACTCTGGTTAAGACTGCTGACTCATGAGGCACTTTATTTTCTGGGTAGCAGTGGAGACTGCCAACACTTGGCTCAACAAATTGTCTATTCAGAATATTTCCTGGCATAAAAATGCTCATTTCGGAATAAAGCGGTGATGTTAGAGCAGCTCAGCCCCCGTAGCGCATCAGACATGCCCAAAATGTTTGTATCGTCTCCTGGTCTACCATATGTCTACGATGTAAACGTAATGCAGACGTAATATTGAGTCTGTGTCTGAAGTTGATAGAATACAGGCCTTGTGTTTTGACAGTGGCCATATATCTCAAAAAGTGTCCATGTCACAGGCCAGGTTTGATTGATCTCTCTGCAGGAAGCTGGAACATAGATCTCCTCCTGGAGGCTCACTGTGACTCCGCTGGTTCATCTCAGCTAACATCGAGTTTTTATCATCAGGCCTATGAGCCAAGATGAAGAAAACGTCACAGACTTCTGTCTTGTTTTGAACCTGGCCTTAAAGAGCGTCATATTCTCCCCCTAAATCCTAATCTTATTCCAGTTATCTGGAAAGCTGTGGCCGATTTGCACCTATTAGGGCTGATAGTGTATGTGTGGCAAGTAAAGCCAAGTTCAGTACAAAACAAAAAATATGCTGACATCTCTGCTACATCTACAGTTAATTCATAAAGACAGAGTTCACCTTTTTATAACCTTTTGTCAGAAGTAGAAAAAAATTTAATTAAATTAAATTTTAAAGGCAGTTGAAATTCAGAATCTTTCTTTTTTAAAGCCCAAATTTTAGGACAGAAATATAAGTTTACATTGATTTGGTCCTGGTTTTTGACTGTCCTTGCTGCTGGTTTGAAACCTGTATAAACTAACCTCGCCTCTCTTCACTCAGGTGTGGAACCAGAACGGTCGCACACCGTACATCACTTACGAATACACCGTCCTTCGAGACTCCCTGCCACCCATCCCACCTCCTCCACTCTACACGGGATCAGACACCTCAGCCGGAGAGGTTTCTGTGGAGGTGGGGAGTCTGCTGCCACCGAACAGCAGTATTTATGACCAGGCGGCCCCTGAGGGCCAGTTAGAGCCGGGAGGGGCCGAGGTGCAGAAGGGCCAAGAGACCAACGAGGTGTATGAGGAGACAGCGGAAATCAGCTGTGACCAGGATGTAGCAGCTGCCCCAAAATCTACAGGTAAGGCCTGCGTGTAGCACCTTAGACCTGTTTGGATGTATGAAATGGGCTATTTCAGGCACCAACCTTGCAAGAATGAGCAAATACACACACACTGCCTGAGTTAGAAGCTTAAAGGTTTGATCCTACCATGGTAAACATCTATCCATGCATGGAAGGTACAAGCACAACTAACGGTTATTTTCATTAATAATGTTATGTTGGACCAGCCAATGAATTTATAATTATATCAAACAGAAAAGCAGCAAGTCAACACTTGCTGGAACAAGAGAACATTTGGCATTTTATTTGAAAAATGGCTGAAACAGTTAATTGAATATCAAAACTGTTGCTGATTCATTTTCTGTTTATCAGATCATTTATTGATTGGCTAATCTCTTCTGCACAAGATGGTCCTATATGTCAGGTGAAAATCAAGTGATTTCTGTGGAGTTGAATGATGCGCTATATGCTCGGTTCAAGCAGGGCCGGCCCTGTAGTGTTGGAGCCCTTGGAAAGATTTTAAATAGACTGTTTTCTTGCATTGTTGTGAATTTATGGGGTCATTTTCTTGAAATGCAAGAGCATTGGTTTAGTTTCAACAGTGGAGGGAACACAAATGAAGAGACTTAATTTCCTGCATTCTGCATTTTCTGCACCAATTTATGGTGGAAATGTCATTATCTATATAAAGGGAAACACAATATTTAGGCTGCAGGTGACAATTCAAAATATAAAAAATGAATAGAATATAATGTAGTAAGGCTTTCAGGCATTCTGTAGATTGCTTTTATATGTACATCATGTATCTACATCACCTATGCCACAGGCCAGCCCTGGATTCAAGGCATACTAAAATCATACAGGTTCAAACAAACTGACGATAGCTAATAATAATGTATATTTTTTCACCTTTATTTATACAGAGAATCAGACTTAGATCAATGTCTCTTTTACAGCTGAGCCCTGTGTACAGCAAACAGATACAAATATTCAACAGATATATAAATATAATTTAAAAAAAACAACAGACAATTTTCAGGTAACAGTTACATTTGTGAGGACAGTGTTCATTCCACATTGCTTTAAATTGTCCTGTTGAAATCTGGACATCTAATTTAACATTTTCCTGTAATTTATTCCCACAATTCGCAGCATTATATTCAAAGGCGGTTTTCCCTTGCTCAGAATGACCTCAGGGAATTTCTAAGATTAACCATTCTTTGGGATGTGTCTGATAACCACCGACTTTCCAATTTATTTTAGTGGTCAGATAGCTGGGAAGTTTATGCATTATAGCCTTATAAACGAATAATAACCAGTGCCTAGTTCTCCTGGCGAACAAAGAATCCCACCCCACTAGCGAATATAGAAGACAATGGTGTGTGTTGTAATTGGCACCCGTAATAAACTGTAAATATGCCAGCTGATTTCTGTTTCCATGCCTTACAATGAGTTACAATTAAAAATATATACTTTAATGTATTAAGGGTACTGTTGTTAACTGGATAAAGTGATAATCTGAGATATTGTTGTTTTTATTGACTATGGTGACATTTTCAGTAATTAGACGTCATTTCTTTGATGTTTAACACTTCCAGGCATAACCAGAAATAGACAGTGGGAATGTTCAGCTTGAAAAAAAAAAATTTTGAAGTTGATACTGAGTTTAGATATTAACATTCACCGGCCGATATTCCTTGCTTATTCCCAAACATACAAACAAGTGTTTTTTGCTTCTCTATAATTTGGTCATTTTAGAATTGTGGCCAAGATGGGTACTGATTTTTACAGTAAGTAACAGTTGAAAAATAAACAGTGCCATCAGTACTGCCACAGAGCCCCTAAAGTCCCGTAAGGTGATATTTTTTTATTTTGTGCGTGGAACAATAATTTGTAATTGATTATAAATATTGACTGTCAAAATAAAGCAACATAGAAAGTTGTAAAACTATAAATCCAACTCACCCCTGTAATATTCAAAGCATAGGCCTATCATGCCTTTATTACTATGCAGAGTTGAACTTGTTCCCACAAGACATTGTGATAATTATATCAGCTAAAAAACTATACAGCATATCTGTGAAAAGAAAATCTCGTCCATGTTGAAATATTGGCTGGACTCTAAGTAAAAGAAAAAGAGAGAGACAGAGAGTGTGTGAGAAGGAAAAAACAGAGGATAAATCAGAAGGTGGTTCAGTGGCCCATTGGCAGACGAGACAAAATAGGTCAGATTTTAAACCAAATCTCGCCTTTTTTTTCTGTGTGTGTGTGTGAGATGGCCCTTTGGAGCTCTGAATTATTCATAGCACAGACATATAAAGAGGATCAGCGCCAGATGAAAAATTTAGAGTTTCGTGGTGTTTTCTCCTTTTAAAAAATGGCTTCATCACAAACATGAGCGGTAATGGCCTTCCTGCGGGCTCTCAGCTCGCTCAGCTGACTGTTGAGTCCATTACACCACTGCTTTGGCTGATGAGATGAGATGGATAGGGGGATGAAAGGTTCACCATACACTTTCTACACAGGCTGACGTCATACTACAGGTCAGATACTGAGCGCTGACTGAAACTGTCTGAACTGAGTTTATCTCCTTGCAGTCCTGTTCTTTTTTTGTTTCTCTCTCTTCTGGCATTTTTGATTCACTCAGTGTGTTGGACATTTCCTTCAAATCATCTCTAAATTTAACTGAGTAGTGCAGAGTAGCACAAGTCTACTTATCAATCACAATTTCCCATAACATTGAGAGGTCCCCTTTGTGTTTCCATCTAAGTAGTAAATCGGTTTTTAAAATAATTGTATAGCTTAATCTTACATCATAGATGATTTGTGCATCAATTTATACACATTTCCCCACTTCAGCCTGAAGTTTTGGTTTATTTGGAAACTTTCAAACTCCTCTACAATTCAAAGTCAAATTCTGTGGGTTTAAACAAACTTTAGTTTGAAAATATCAGGTCACAGAAAAAAGCCAGCAATATTCAAGTTACTTAAATGCATATAAACCTGTTGGAGTATAATTTGGTCCAATACAACAACATGACTAACAGCACCATTTAAGTCCGCAAAAGTGTCTGTAGTCATAACTCGACACCTCTCTGACACAGTGTCAACAAAGTCTGAGCATTCACAGCAATAGAATGTATTGAGAGGCTGTTGTACTGGATAACATTAGATTATACGGGTGTATATAAAAAAACGGTACCTCTTTGTATGTGAAAATGTGGAATATCAATGCTTTGGCTTTTGATTTCTTGATGTTAAAGCTACAATGAAACAGGAAGTAGAGACCAATGTAGAGCTGAGAAAAGTTTAGGTAAATTTCTTTTGATATCCAGGTGTGATACTTCCGAAGAAATTTCTTTGCTTGTGTTCATTCCCACTGAAAACTAATATTGACCAGAAAACAGCTGAAAAGCCTTTCAATCTGAGCTGTGTGTAAATGTGTAAATTATGTTCTCAAGTACAAACTGTAGATTGTAAGATATATCAATTTGCTCTCCAGACACAGCTGATTTTTTTCCGCTTTGATCTATCAGAAGGAAACAGCAGCCATAGCACTGCCAAGCCTGCTACTGCCGGTGGCTCCCTGGATGTGGTGCCAGACTCCCCAAATCTCATCTGGAGGGTTCTGCTGGATGGCCGAATTGGCCCAGATGAGCTGCTCATCAACATCTCAACCAATCAGCTGCTGACAGAGGGAGACAGTTTGTTCTCATCAGAGGTGGGGCCAGTGGAGGCGGACCTGAGCAGCCTGGAGCAAGACAGGCTTAATGAGACGCTGGAGTTTGCTCTGGGTCGCAAACGCAACGACAGCGGAGACAGTTCCTACCAGAACAAAACAGTGCAGAGTGGGGGAAGGACCTCCAGCCGCGCCAACAGAACAAGGTAATACAACAGAAACCAAGTGATCAAACAGGAACCAGGTAATCTAACAGAACAGAGGTAAAAAGAACATCAGTTAATTCAAATCTCCCATGTGTTTTAAGATGATGTACAGCAGAGGTCCACTCAGCTTCAGTCAGGTTTGGCTCACAGAAAGCCTTTTCCCCTCAGCCTGGATACAGTCTGGACGGAATGTTTTCAGGTTTGGGTCACACCGGGCCTGAATGTTCAGACATTGTCAAGCCCCTGAGTCTGCTGCTGGCTGAGGGAGAAGCAGGCTGGGCAGCGTGGACATTCATTTTCCTCTGAAGACGCAGCCAGAAGAATCGAGACCGGGGTGAGGCAGTCAGCAACACAGGCAAGGAAGCAGCAAGAGTGTGGCAAAGCAGTGGGACAAGCTAAGGGACAAAGACTTATACAGGATGTAGACAGTCAGGCAAAAAGCAGAGCAAGAATTAGGGCAAAGGCAAGCAGGAAACAAAGTAAGACAGCAACTATATAAAAAAACTAGTGCATGAGACAGACCGGAAAAGAGGCAATTACGATAAAGAAGTTAAACGGGTATACTAATGTGCAGTAAAGCAGTTTGACGGGAAAGTTAACGTGCAGTAAAGCAGTTTGATTGGAAAGTTAATGTGCAGTAAAGCAGTTTGACGGGAAAGTTAACGTGCAGTAAAGCAGTTTGATTGGAAAGTTAATGTGCAGTAAAGCAGTTTGACGGGAAAGTTAACGTGCAGTAAAGCAGTTTGATGGGAAAGTTAATGTGCAGTAAAGCAGTTTGACGGGAAATTTAACGTTCAGTAAAGCAGTTTGACGTAAAATTTAACGTGCAGTAAAGCAGTTTGATGGGAAAGTTATCGTGCAGTAAAGCAGTTTGACGGAAAGTTATTGTGCAGTAAAGCAGTTTGACGGGAAAGTTAATGTGCAGTAAAGCAGTTTGACGGAAAGTTAATGTGCAGTAAAGCAGTTTGACGGGAAAGTTAACGTGTAGTAAAGCAGTTTCACCGGAAAGTTAACGTGTAGTAAAGCAGTTTGACGGGAAAGTTAACGTGTAGTAAAGCAGTTTGACGGGAAAGTTATTGTGCAGTAAAGCAGTTTGACGGGAAAGTTAATGTGCAGTAAAGCAGTTTGACGGGAAAGTTATTGTGCAGTAAAGCAGTTTGACGGGAAAGTTATTGTGCAGTAAAGCAGTTTGACGGGAAAGTTATTGTGCAGTAAAGCAGTTTGACGGGAAAGTTATTGTGCAGTAAAGCAGTTTGACGGGAAAGTTAATGTGCAGTAAAGCAGTTTGACGGGAAAGTTATTGTGCAGTAAAGCAGTTTGAAGGGAAAGTTATTGTGCAGTAAAGCAGTTTGAAGGGAAAGTTATTGTGCAGTAAAGCAGTTTGAAGGGAAAGTTATTGTGCAGTAAAGCAGTTTGACGGGAAAGTTAATGTGCAGTAAAGCAGTTTGATGGGAAAGTTAATGTGCAGTGAAGCAGTTTGACGGGAAGGCTAACCCGCAGCAAACCAATTTCACAGGTAGTCAGACAGTAAAGCAGGTAAACCAATAAGATATACTGGCAGGGAGGCAGATATACTGGCAACAAGGGAGATAGGTACAGTAGATATACAGGCAGGCATACAGGTAGACCCGGCAGGTTTTGCATTCATCATATTTATAATTCATGTTGGCTGTCCTGCTTTGTGTCCAAACACGACTTCACCAATTCTGCAGCCAGCAGCTATAAAACACACGATGACACGCCCTTTCCTCCAAGAGACGGAGAGAGGGAAAACGAGCAGAGAAGAGGTGCACTGAGGGGAGGGGGGATATTCATAGAGCCACGCTTCGAAACAAGTAATTCAAGGTATTTGCAAGAAAAGTGAAAAATATGATGCAAAGGGGGAAAGTGTGCTGTCAGACTGTAGTCATCTATGGGGAGAAAATGATGTGCAGGAATCGGTCTGGCTCACACGGAAGGATGCCGGCGAGGTATAACTCAAAGTGCTTATGATTTTCAAATAAATGTCTGGCGGCTGGCGGAGACGGAAGGAATGACCGGTGTTATGACAAGAATGTGCACATGACTTTTATGTGATGTGATGAAAAAACAAAGTGCGTCTGCCAGGATGCAGGCTGTGAATCAGCTGTCACACTGTGGTCGTCTGAGGCCTGGGAGACAGGCTCAGTGTGTGAGTGTGCGTGTGTGTTCCATGCTATGTACTACTGGGTATCCTTAAATGTCCTTAAAAGAATATTTCACAGGAAATGTATCTTTTGAAAATCTATCTGTAGACTTGAAAGTTTATACCTTGGTCCTGCGTGGAGGACAGCAGCTGTAAGCAGCCTGGATTTACTACAGTTAAAAGTGCATTACAGTATAATGGTAAAAAGTATCAATGCTTCTATGGAAACTTTTCAAGCTACTCCTGCAGTATAATCCACTTCTCCACTGACTATTTGCATGCACAGTATGTTCTAGTCATATTTTCAGAAAAATATGGCTAAATATTTACATGACACAACGATAAACAGCTTGAGTTTTCCTTTTCTTACATATGTTTGTTTTTGGGTGACAGGGGGAATCAAAGGATTCACCAGAAGAACCTGAAGCTGAGTGCTGCTGACATGTATCGCTGGAAACTTTCCTCTCAGGAGCCCTGCAGCATGACCTGCTCTATAGGTACAAACAAACACACACACACTGAAGATCCACGGGTAGTTACATTACGATATTGTCATCAACTTCTTAAGATCGAGATCTACAACATCTGATCAAAACTCAAACCCAACAGTCTGCAGACCAGTTCCCTGTAACACTTAACACTAGTATGGTGAAGTGCACATTTGGGTGCTCACACAGCTTTCTCTGCATTTAGACTATTGGACACTTGATTAAGAAATCATGTTTGTGGCCAGACGTTCATTGTTTCTTTCTTCCATCTAAAGCAGTGAGCTTTCCTTTCTTTTTTTTAAAATGTGCTGAATAAATCAGTTTGCCTTGCTTTGCCTTGTTTCTTGCTCACAACCCAGGAGTGTCAAAGTCTTTCGTCACATGTATTCGTTATGATGGCATCGAGGTGCACGATATGTACTGTGATGCTCTGACCAGACCAGAGCCGGTCCACGACTTCTGTATTGGGAGAGAATGTCAGCCCAGGTAAAACATTTTAATGAACCAGAAACTGCTCAACAGTGCATTGCGCAATGTATTTCTTGCTTTCATAAAATCTGACAGTGTGCCCGTACAGAATCTTTATCTGAAGTGAACTGATGACGTGCAACTAATGTGATCTTTCAGATGGGAGGCGAGCAGCTGGAGCGAGTGCTCAAGGACGTGCGGGGAGGGTTTCCAGTTTCGCCAAGTTCGCTGTTGGAAGATGCTTTCACCAGGCCTGGACAGCTCGGTCTACAGTGACCTCTGCACCATGGCTGACCTGGAGAGACCTATGGAGAGACGGCCCTGCAAGAGCCCCGCGTGCGGCCCACAGTGGGAGGTGGCCGAGTGGACCGAGGTATAAGACGTCTGAAATGTTGAGTAAAAAACCCCACCATAAGGAGAAAGTAAGCAAAGAAAATGGTGTTTGTTTCACATCTTTGCAATACTTGTGGCTTTGTCAGACACGGGTTGAGCAGCTGTCTGCAGCAGTCAAGTGGTCTGACTTTGGTCCCTGATGGATTCTCCAGAGACGCTTACCAGACACACAAAAAAAACAAGATGTGATTCGAGTCAAGGGGGTCACAGATTATTCCTTCTCTTTGGAGCAACACAGCATTTAAGCAGCTATACATTCAGATAGTATTTAGCAAATTTGATATTTCTTGTTTATTTCACTGTTACACTCTTACTCTTACTAAACGTCAGTCACCTGTTTTTTAGCAGAATATAACATTTATTGTGTGTATTCCTTAAAATGTCAAGGGTGAACTTCAAACCAGGTAGCACATTAGCACAGGAACAACAGCTATAATACTTCAATTGACAAGCAGAGTAAGTTAGTTAGCTTAATAGCTTGCTGCATATGCTAGACTGCAACAAATATTAATATTACTTATATTAAACAGTTAGTGAGAATCCTTACAGATTCTGTTTCAAGGAGATTTCAGACTCTTTAAAACTCCAAAAAAGGTGAACGGGAGCAGCTTAGCTTAGCAAATGTCTTTATCAAGAGCACTTTATTAGCAGCAACATCGTGCTCAGTCTGTGAAATCTTTTACAAAGATACCTGATCTCTAACAGTGACCTTCTGATAACAAACATCTGTTGCGTTAATGATACATTACACTAACATTATTTTATAAAAATGTGCTGGTAATAATTAGCTTGCGTGTGTCTCTGTGTGCCTGTCCTTTATCCAGTGTCCTGCTAAATGTGGCCGCAAAGCCCAGGTGAGCCGTGATGTCCGGTGCTCCGATGAGACCAGACCATGTGACCCGATGACCAAACCGCCAAATATCAAAAACTGCACAGGCCCTCCCTGCGAACGCCACTGGACTGTGTCCGAGTGGGGGCCTGTGAGTTTCTTTACCCTCTATATACACAGCGCATGCCAGTATACATGAGTAACATCAACATATAATGTACAATATATGTGTGTTTTATCACCATTAGTTGCACCCATGGTGCAGAGTAGCTGCTGCTCTCTCTGGCTGCTCTCAGCTGAAAAAAATCATTATTGACTGACAAGCACTATAAAATCATACAAAACAGACAGTGAAGAAAAGTCAGTCACTTGATCTTAAGGATTGTTCTTATAACTTGTGTCTTTTTTCCGCATTTTTCAAAAGGTTTTTCCACTTACTTAACGTTTTTGAGCTTGATAGGGTTGTTACAAAAAGCGGCTTTGTCTATCCCAGCTGTTTTTACTTCAGTGAAAACTTGCCACTGTGTAAATTTATGGTTTTTATTGTGTTGTACAGACAAGCTCGTTATGTTCCAGTCAAAGTCAAAATCAAAGTCTGGAAACTCACAGGTCTAATTTACAACCATGGAGTCCAACCAGGCACAACAACTTTATGTTAAATGTAATACCCTGTGCAACAGCTAATGTTGAGCCAGTCATTATTATTTTATTATCAGTTTGATTTTACTTTAAAGAGCTGGTTTGCCCAAATGATTTATTCTATACTTATGTGTAGTTGTATCTCATCATGCAGATTGTTTTGGTTATATTTTTGACAATGTGTGAGATTTCTGCTGCCCTATTCATTGAAGGGGAATGGAAGTTAGTTTGTGGTCACCACAAGATCCAATGATATTTATATATAGAGAGAGAGTTATTCCCCCCAAAAACTGAGGTAGTCATATCTAGGGTCTAAACCTTTGACTGAATGTTGATACTAATGGCAAATGCTCCTATAATAAGTACTTCTCTTTCTAAAAAAAGGCATGCCGTACCACATAGTGATACGTGTTTGCAAGGTGGAATGATCACGCTATCTTAAACTAATGTGACATGACTTTTTCTGATGTGGTGCCACTTCATTTCACGTAACGCCTCCTTTTTATTTAATCTGATGTGAGGTGACCTGATCTGACTTCATGTGACAAACAGCGTTTGACTCTGAGCTTCGTGACAAAACTTGGCTGAATAAGGCAGTGACGAGAACAGGATTCTTATGAATCATCCGGTTTGACCTTTGACCCTTGTCGTTGCAGTGCTCGGGGTCATGCGGCCAGGGGAAGATGGTACGTCATGTGTACTGTAAGGCTCCGGAGGGTCGCGTGGTTCCTGAGAACCAGTGCTCCGCGGAGAACAAGCCGCTGGCCAGCTACCCCTGTGGGGAGAGAGACTGTGCTCCACACTGGCTGAGCCAAGACTGGGAGAGGGTGAGGCCTCGCCACAGTGTCAATATTAAGATTTAACTGTTTATTAGTAAACCTGGAACTCTTAGTCAATTCATAGATTTTTTTTTTTAAGTCATTTATCGACATTCTCTAGGTCGAACTTGTGAAATGAGAATTTGCTTCTTTTCTCTGTGTTGTATATTATTGTAAATTGTTAATCTCATATATTGTGGACTGTCTGCTGGACAAAACAAGCATTCTGAGGATGTCAGATGGTTCTGAAATGAAATTGTTTAGTTGTCCCATGGTTACAGTTTTTCACTTTTCCACATCAGCAAGAACACGCTCTGCCGCTCTGTGAAGAAACTTTAAAATGAAGAAAATCTCTTCAGTTGTCGCAAAGTCAGATATGAATACTAGTAACATGATTTTGTCTCTAGTGTAACACAACCTGTGGTCGTGGCGTGAAGCGAAGGATGGTCCTGTGTGTCGGCATCAGTGGAGGAAAGTTCCAGACCTTTGATGATGAGGCGTGTGGAGCCAGCGAGAAGCCTGAGGAGGAAAACACTTGTTTTGAAAGGCCATGCTTCAAATGGTACACCACCCCCTGGTCTGAGGTGAGGTCAACACACACTCCACCTTTACACCTCAAATATAGAGTGTGAATTTCCCTGTATAACTCTTGGTCAAGATGTGCTGCTAATTCATAGTTGCTCAACATGCTCAAGGTATGGTCCACCTGTTCAAAGAACCTTTTCAGTGTCAAGAATTTACCACCAACAGTCTTTCAGCTGGCTCTGAAAGGTTTTTAAGTTGCTCCTTCATAAAGGACAGCAGCTCTAATTATGCTTGCCTCACAGCAATCACTATATATTAAAATGAGATACAGATAAATGAAGGAAAAAGTATCCATAGAAACTCAACATGATCCACTGTCTGCATGTTCGTTGTTTTCAAAACACTCATAATTTCACCAGAATATGGTCAAATACATGGCCGTTTCTGTTTTTTTCGCTAGCATGGTAAATGTTTTTTCTGTTGCTGGAATGCAGAACAATTGGGAAAGTTTGGTTTTAACTGCTGACTGACACTGATGCAGCAGACACAGTTTCATCAAAGTGAGGTGGCTCGTAAATAATTCAGACTGTAGAGTTACAAGTTTTAGTGTTTGGTGCTACGAAAGCTGGACCAGGTACTCTTTCTGAAGACTGGAACTGTGCTGAGAACCTCTGTTCCAACAATGTCTTTCTTGGGACATGAGAGATACTAAATGTTACATTCAACTAGAGAGCAGTCCCTGAAAACTGGGGTATTGGGCCCAGATGAAGACATGAGGTCCAATATGAACGTGATTTATGCACAAAAAGAGAAACTTCCAACTGACGTGATGTGAAGCTGGCAGTCTGAACTAAAACACAATATTCAAGACATAATAAATCAGGAAAGTATATTATGATTCAGAAAGCTTTAAATTGCTAAGATGTCCAGATGATTTGTGTTGTGCTAACAAGTTGCTATCTCTTCATCAGAAACTTCCACACCAAGCTGCTGATGTGTAATGCCTGCACAGAAGACTAGTGGACAGAATCATGTTAGTTTGGCAGATGATGTTAGTCGCTAATAATCCATTTTCACTGCTTTGAATATGTAGTGAAATACTTGAAAAGGCTTCCAGTTGACTGTGCCAGGATGGTTTCTGTAACGCTAGGTCAGGTCTATAACGCCTGTGTTTCTGCTCCTGTGTTTCTTCAGTGCACTAAGACGTGTGGTGTGGGTGTGAGGATGAGGGACGTGAAGTGTTACCAGGGCAGGGAGTTGGTCCGAGGCTGCGACCCGCTCACCAAACCTGTGGCCAAACAGACCTGCACCCTGCAGCCCTGTCCCACTGAGCCGCCAGGTAACGCCTCAGGAAACCTGCGGTTCTGCTTCCAAACTGCTCTTATCTATTTTAGATAACAAAATGTACCAACTCATCTAACAACATTCCCAAAAAACTTATTCTAGATTAGCCTAGGTTTAAGTGTAGTAACTTGCCCTGGAAGTAGATGCTGTTAGCTACAATAGCTAATCTAAAAAGCTAATTCCTTTATTTACTTTTATGTGGAATAAATGATTTTATCTGGAGTCAATGATTTGTGTTAAATTTAAGTTTCTTTGAAAGGTTTTAGGAGGCTTGTGCTGCTTGCCCTGGAGTCATTTTCCTACAGTGGTTACGAGACTAACGCTGTCTTCTGTGTAGACATACCATAGGACCCAGGTTGAAAAGCACTAAAAGGAATAAAATTTTTAAAGCTTTCGATTAATGTAAAAAGGTGTAAACATTTCTCAAAGTGAGCTATCAAATGAGGTCTTGTTTTTATTAAATATCTTAACCTGCTTCTGGGTTTAGATTAGGCCTGGACAATAAACAATAACAATAATTAATGCGATATAATTTTTTCAAAAACAATATAATAAATGTTCAATAAATATTCAATAAATGTTTGATTTATTCTCTTGAATTATACAACGAATTAGGACTTAATTGTTTATTAAGATAAAAAGCTTTTACTTATTTTTACTTAGATTTGTTGACAAAGATTTTATCATAATTGTTTTGAATGTTCTGCCTCAGATTTGTGAAGTGATTCAGTGTTTGGCCCCAAGTTTTAAGCATAAAGAACAGTTTAAACCACAATTATGCATCAAGTTTCTTTTCTTCTCTCAGGAGTAAAAATCAGCTTTTAAACTTGAAAGAAATAACGATTTGATACTTATCGTGATAATTATCGATATCGATAGATATGAAACTTTTTATTGTGATAACATTTTTGGCCATATCGTCCAGCCCTAGTTTAGACGGTATTGTTTTGAAATTGCTAACAAGAACTCCACCATGTGTAAACTGTCCCAGATGAGAGCTGCCAGGATCGTCCCTCTACCAACTGCCTGCTGGCGCTGAAGGTCAACCTGTGCAGCCACTGGTACTACAGCAAAGCCTGCTGCCACTCCTGCCGCGCCGTACGACCTCCAACCTCCTAGTCCAGGACACCACAGCCTCTCTCCACCCCGAATCTAACTTCAGCACGAGGAAAGAAATGGTTACGTTTATGTACACGTGATGCTACAGTTACTGTGAACATTGAGAGGAAGCTGAAAGGCACCTGGAAGCACCTACCTGTTTTTAAGAAGCAGCGCTTCCTCCACTAGCTTGGTTTTACATGGGTTCATCTATCAGTCGGATAGTTCAAATGATTTAAGATGAAATCTGGTCATCTTGATATCAGACAAAAACATTTTGCCCTGTTGATGTTTCATCAACAGCAATGTTCACAGATACTGTACAACAGGAACACATTTGTCATTCTCTATTTGCTCTTTTTCTTACATCTTTTCCACTTTCTTTTTCAATCACAAATTGTAACGTAAAATAGAAAAAGAATATGTTTAATTTGAGGGGAACTTTACTACTCTACTACTCAAATTTTGATTTGTTACTATTACTTCCCAGTGTGTGTAGGGAGGCCTTTCATAAAACATTGAAATCACCTGCCGCAGCCTTTCGTCTCGAGACCTCTGAAACATTTCAAAACAGATTCGGCAAACATAAAGAACATTTAGTTAAGAAAAGACATATCCTAAGATTTGTCCTAAGAAATCTTTCTTTGACCATCTCCAATATAAGATCTCATGCTAGTCCTGAGCCCTATGTTGAGCCCCACAGCTGCCCTCACTCCTTCGCACCATCGCACAGAATAACAGGATTAACTAAAAGAACAGACAGTTAATGTTTCTCATCATCCTCATCACAATTCTCATTATGATTAAACCGTATTTCAAGCATAAAGCCAGTTTCTGCCAGCTGTCATTGATTATTTGTCTTCCTCTAACAACACGTGGAGTTGGAGACGAAGTGGAGTCGACACTCAAATGGTCTTACAGACCTCCTTCATCAGTTAGCAGCTTGCTCTTGTTGTGTTCATCGCTACCATGAAAAGATGTACTAAATTATTGCTCATCGGAATATACTGCATGATTGGAATATTTAAGACGGATACTGTTTATGAAATATTATTTAATTGTGTTTCAATTTGGTGTCTGGCATGTAAAAAGCTCATATTTCCATTCCACCCCCTGCTGTTTGGCACCGTGCCGGTAGCCCTGCAGGATATGGAAGCATATTTATTAGTCATAGCACATTTTCATTTTATCGCGACGCTCCTGATGCCAGCCAATGGTTATTCATCGGGTCAACTGATGCCAGTTCTGGTCTGTGTGTGTGACAGAGGAGGAGAGAGTTCATATAAACACAGAAAGAAAGATTCCTGACACTTGAAGTATGGTTGAAATGTATTCAGACGTGTACATGTATGTCTCATTTTTAACTATTGTGTACTGTGTTTTTATATAACTGATACCTCTTTGTACAAAACGTAAGTATGGAAATTGTGTACTGTTGATAATATACTGACTTGTATTTCAATTAAAGAAGAGTTCAAATGAACTTATTTGCCTCTGTCATTTCTATATGAATTGATGTATTTAGGTTGTTGACCTAGCATGTTTCTCTCTAACAACAGAAAAGGGGGAGGGGTCAGGAAGAGCAGACCTACAACCATATATATATTATATCATATACCCCCATATATGCCTCTCTCAAAGGCACCTTGACAGTAGCTGCTGCAGGAGAGGATATTATAGTTTTATTTCACCTTTATTTAACCAGGATGGTCTCTTCTGCTCTAAATATCCTTGCCAAAATTGAAGCACAATTATGTTACACAAACTAACACGGACACTACACACAGAATGAAGAGAAAATAGAGGAAAAAAGGAGCCACATAAGAAACAGAAAAGCACAACATATGAAAGTCTTTTAAATCATGCCATTTTGAGTTTTAGTTCTTAAAATTGGCATGAAGTATTTTAAAATGACTTGTATCTGGACACATGTAGTTCATTCTGAGCACATGAAGCAGCACACCTGAAATCTCTTTTACTGAGCTCTTCACGTCAGAACTCATTCCTGAGTGCCTTTACTAATTCAAAACCAGTCCAGGGATTCATAATTGTAGTTTAGTCTCCTGTTGAAATGGGAGGTTGTGATGCTGAAAATGTCAGGATATTCATAAACACACACTGATGACTGTGTATGATCTGTGTATCCTTCCTCAGTGCCCTCCGCTCTCTTCCCTTCTTCGTTTGACACTTTTAAGTCGACTTGTCTGATTGAATGAGTGTCAAAACTGACAACAAAACAGAACAAAGTGCGTCCAGAATGAACGCTCTCTGCTCTGCGGATCTGTATCAGTTTTCTCCCAGAAGGCATTACACAGATACCAAACGGTTTTGCATCATTTTATTACCACTGTAATGAAGACAGTGCACAGAGCAGACACAGTAGATGCAGGTTTGACAGCAGCTGACACCCCCTGCTGGTCAGTGTGACAGCATCAAACCTCTCATCTACTGCACTGCAGGATAATAAAATCACATCAACTACTGAAGCGGAGAAAAAACAAATGCAACTGTTTTAGTCTTCTCTAAAAAAAAAAAAAAAGAGACTTGTCAGGAAACACTGAATAATGGAAGCGGTTCTGCACTCATTCTTCCTCAGGAACTTTGCTTCATCCCCCAAAACACTCTGAATGGATTCATGTTTGGGGCTTTATCATCAGGATGGCTTTTTCTACTGCAGAGACTTCTTTGGCCTGAGTTGAGACGACCAGAATGTCCCTTCTCTATGGCGGCAAGCAAATCTTAATCCCAGCTATGACTGAAAGACAAACGTCTATTACCTATTGTTGCATTCCAAATCATATACTTTTTCTTTTTACTTTTAGTACGTACTGCAGCTGACCTTACATAGTACGTACTGTTGCATTCAGTATGCATATAATCAGGACATGTTACTTTATCATAACTTTGCACCTTGCTCATACTCATGCTGTGCAGAGGACTGTGGGTCAGAATAGCCAGAAAAGCATGCTGGCATACTGCAAAATATGACCGGATGCAGTAGGATATCCTGGTATTTTATTTATGCAAAATATTTTTTCCAACATACTAAATAGTTTGGTAACATGGCTGCTGGAACGCAATTTAAAAAACATATAATAGTTGGAGCTTGCTGTGGGTAATACTTTGCCCGAGAGGAATCACTGCCTGGTAGTTCATCTTCTCAAGAGAGGTCAGAGGTCAGGAGAAGCATGGATTTGGTATCTTAACATTGCAATACACTTTAAAGTCTCCAGAGAGGAACATGTGAATTCACCCAAATGTATGTATAGACTCTGTGCAGCATCATAAAGAAGTAGCAGCCAGAAAAAAGGTGAACTTCCCCCATAAGTGCAGTAGAAACAAAAGCTTTGATATTTCCAGGTAAACGCAAAAGGTTACAGTATTCTTTTAAATCACTGCTTAATTCCATGAAATGTTCCTACGCACTTCCAATCTGAATCATACCGCTGTGGTTATATATTGTAGATACTGTGATAGTACAAGAACAATCACTTACTGAATATAAAGCATTACATTTATCCTGCTCAAGGTACTGAAAGATACTTAATAAGCCATAAACAGTCATAAACAGGATTTGATCCAGTCTGAACCTGGATATGTTGATATCTGTTCATAAACATGAGTTGTGTCCCCAAATCTACAGTGTAAACTAATCACTATGAACACACTGCAGAATCAAAACCTGCTAGGAAACAATGTGGAGTCTGGGGGACTTCAGTTCAGGGCAAAAAGCCTTTTCTTTAAGCGTTCAGAGGTCATAAGAAGCCGCTTCCCTAGAGTTGGCAGAGATTCAGTTTGTTAACAAGATGAAACACTTCAAGTTCCATCCAGTCCTGCAACATCAAATGACATCACTCAATATGATGCAGGACTGGATTTTAGTCATTTCATTATTACAATTGTCAAGCTGATTTTAAATTCTGAATGTTTTCTTTCTTCTGAAACAGAGGTTTCTTCACTTCTGCTTTCCACTGAATGTACAACCTCCTAGCCTTACCGGACTGGTGCAGCTATCCTGACCACAAACAATTCATCCATTCACCCTGACGAATTTGATTTGGGGCATGGCAGCTTAAACGATCAGGATGTGTTGTGTTGCTACCTGAGGCTAAACACACTTTTGTGAAAAACACTGAGGCACAAATCACACATGACAGAAAAAACACGCAGACTCATTTTCTGAGTGAGCCCATGAGCTCATTTTTTAGCAGCATACTATTTTATCGTGTTGTTCTTACATAACAGTGTAAGTTTTCTCCAAATGAATCGTTTCATTCCATCTGAATGTTTTGGGATACAGGAAAAAAAGTTATCTGCAGCTCCTGGAGTTGTTCCTGTTTTTGTAAATGATGTGAAGTGAAGTTTGTAAATACCAAACACTCATATAATGTACTATTAAGAAATACCTAAATATCGTTTCTTAAATTCTCAACACTGTATGTTTGAGGAAAAACTCTTACAGCACAGTATCTATCTACAGTAGGATGCCTTTCACAGGAAATACATGTCTTCCAGTAATAACAGTCATTGGATCATTGAATGCTTCAGAAAAGCCCTTTAAAGTGTGATTTGTTTTCTGCACCGCGGTGCTCTGCAGACAAACATGAGTTCACACACTGAAACACTCTCACACTGAGGGTATCACCAGCTGCTCTTCACTGTCTGAGTTATAATCAGATACATACAAAAAACATAACCTCGTGCTGACAAAGCTACATAAGTGAACTTACACACTAGTCAGACAGAAGCTCAGTGTAATGTCTGCACAAGAAGCCATTACAGTTTTTCTTCTTCTTTTTTTTGTAAACCAAGGATAAAATTGTAAATATAAAATGAAAATTATGAATGATATCTATTTAATTCTTCATCAAAAAAAAAAAAATCCTGTCTCAGTGATGATAGTTATAATAGTCATGTCTTGGTTCAGTTCTTAACACCACTAATTCGATTTTATCTGGTTAAAAATAAAATATGCAACAGAGCTATTGTTGTTGGAAACGGCACAAAAAATTTTTCTTTGTGCACTTAAATTGATCATTCATGTGTATGAATTGGTTTTTGAAATGTTTATGTTGTGCACAAATTTGTAATTTCTGATCTAGAATGAATAATTCATGCACACCAATTACATTTCTTTCCCAATGACAGAGGAATTGAATTGATATTAAAAAAAATAACACAGCTTCACCATGCTGTGCAGGAGCTTCAGTCTAAATAGAATAAACCAAAATAAAGTATTTAAAGATACGATTTGGCTCTTTTTAGGTGTTAAATGAAGGAATTCCACTGTGAAAAAAAAAGTGAAACGTAACAGTTATTGGGCACTGTACAGTTGGTGCTACACTAACAAACACAAAAAACATCTTCTTTATTTGAACACTTGTTTTCCACTGCATGACTGAGTCAAAGTCAAGTATGCTGTAAAAGTACACATATATACTATATGTTCAGAACTGGATTTCTAAATTGAAATAGCTCTTTGTGACCGGAAGTGAAGTCACTGACAGTCAGATAAACTGGTCTCATGGAAACAGACTTGTCTTTAGCTTTGTTCCTTTTCCAAAACGCTCTTGATTTGGAGCTTAAAGGATAAGTGTTGTTCTACATTTTTTTCTTACTAGCAAATCCCATGAAAAGACTAAAACCAATATGTGTTAGATCGTCTCTCAGAACTTTCTGACTTCCTGTCTGTGGCTCTCCAGGCCAAGGTCCCCATTGACGACTCAAATATTTCAAAACAACTGACAAATATATAGTATATATCCAAGGAAGGTTAAATCAAAGGCAAATGATCTTGATTGAAGATACTCCAAGAGGCTTCTTCAGTTCTTGCTTTAACCCCCCCTTGGATAACTAAGACCTGGATGACTGAGCATCTTCACAGATATATAATATATAGTTTAATTTTTAAAAAGCTCAGTAATTTCCTAAAACCGCTGGCCAATGCTGATTTTACCAAATGTTACTATATTAATCCACATTTGTGTAGGAACATGTCACCCAGTGCAACCGTGTGGCTCACTGATGTGTTTTAATAGTTTTTTGGCGCAGCTCTATGGCAAACAGGAAGATGATTTATCAGGTGTTGATACACTTGTTAGTAGATGCATTCATTGCTGGTTTTATCCGCACATGGGATTTGGTGACAATCAGATCAGACTCATCCAGACTGTGTGACTAGACTCCAGCCTCAATTAGGAAATGTTATATTTGCACTGGACTTTTTTTTCTTTATTCCTCCATTTCTGTCTTGTGTGTGGTGCATTCAAACAAAATCTGTGTTAATTAACTGACAAAAGCTCAAATTGTAATTTTTCTTGTTTATAAGTTGATACATACAGCATATATTGGTTAGCTACATAACTGGCTAATTAGCAAACAAGCTCATTTTCTAAACATAAAAATCAGACATATTGGTCACAAAATGAGCAGTTTGTCTGTTCAGCTCTGTCAGAAACAAATGTTTAAGCTTTAGAAATATCAGCGGCTGTTAGCAGTTGCTCCAGACCTGTAGATCTCCAATATGGCTGAAGGGAGATAGATAGTATATCAGTCCAGCACAGTATCAATGCTGCACCCACAGCACAACATTTATATAACATGTTCATTTGGTGTGTTTGCAACACAGAGTCAGTGCAGTTTGTATTGATCAACCTTTCCTCCTGGCCAGCAGGGCAGAGCTGTCTCCGCTCGGCCTGTTCTCCTAGACGTCGGTGCTGACGCTGTGGGTGACCACCTCCCTCATGGTGACAGAGCGGATAAGGTTGAGCTTCTGGTAGAAGCTGGCCAGGTCCATGGGCAGTTCCAGGTCCTGCTGCTGCACAGTCCTGTAGCTGATCCTGCGGCCGCCGTTGCACAGCCTCTCTGGGTGCTGCAGGTAGAAGGGCAGTGAGCAGCGAGCGCAGGACGGGCAGATAGGGTGTGAGCGTTGACACCTGCGCGGCGGTGGTGTGGGGGAGTAGCTGGCAGGCCCGTTGGCCTCAGTGAGGAATGTGGGAGGGTAGGCCTCTGGGTCATCACCATAGCGCTCTGGCGTTGGAGGCGTAGGGGGAGCAGACAGAGCCAGGGGGTGGAATGGCGACATGGTGGAGAGATCTGCTTCCTCCTCTTCCCCCTTCTCAGACTCCTCCCTCTTACAGCAGTAATACTGGAGCAGTCAAACACAGGAGGAGCTACAGGTCAGAGGCATTGTCAGTTACCATCAACATCCATAATGCAAAAGATATGAGGTCAAGCAGACGCTAATAATACATCCTGTGATGGGATCAGGGAAATCAGTGTGTATGGTTGAATGGAACAACACACTGAGAAGTAAGTTTGGTGAAACAGGTGAACTGGATTTATTCACCATCCCTAACCATCCTTGCAGCCTCAACTTTTAAACTACGTTAATTTGGACATGTGTGCGTGTTTTGCTTAAATATTTCCTGGTTTGATTAAAGGAATGAACAACATTAAACATGGTTAGTATAGATATACAGTAGATAAACGGTCAGTTGTTTGGCATGAATTACTGAATGTCCAACAACAGTTGTTGTCTGCCTGGATCTTGTCATCTTGGCAAAACTAATTGTGCCGCTTTAAATGAATGTGGGCCAGGGACATAATGCGTGTGTGGGAGGGAAAAGGCCCTTTCCCTACTTCCTGCCTCCCTACTTCCGGTGTCCTTGCTTGTTCAGTTCAGTTCAGTTCATTTTATTAGTATCCCATGTGGAAAACTTGACTTGCAGTCAGGGTAAAACATAAAAGAATCAGATAAACACAAGTACAAAAAAACAATCAAAACAAACAAACAAAATAAAAATGACCAGTATATACAGTACACTAAAAACACTATAAAAACATTAAACAATCTCTAAAATGTGAGGTTACCTGAGATGCTTTAGCAGGATTATTGCACTGGGAACAAATGAGTTTTTCCTCCTATTGCACTTGTATTGTGGCAATCTAAATTTACGACCTGAAGGAAGAGTTACAAACTCAGAACGAAGAGGATGGTTTTTGCAGTGACACTTATCTTCGAACTTGGTCTGCATTTGGATTTCAACAACATTCCTTAAGAAATAAAGTTTCTTGACTGCAACTTGCATGATTAAGATTCTATCGCATTGACAAAATCTGTCCACAGAAACAGACATATATACACCAGGCAAAGTGTTCCCGCCACAGTAGGTGTCTCCAGGACCACATTGTATGTGTGTGATGACACAGACTCACAAGGTGAAAACAACTACAGCCACGCTGTTGTGGCAGCTTTTGAGGCCATGCTACTAATCCTTGTGAACTTCGGTTATGTGTATTATGTGATGTGTCTGAACAATACCATGTCAAGTCTGTGAAAAATCTCAACAACTAATGGATGGATTGAAATAAAATGTGAAACACACATTCATGTTCACCCCCAGATGAATTGTCACAACTTTGGTGATCCTCTGGCTTTTCATCTAGTACTGTCCACAGCAAAGGGTAACGTGCTAAACTAGGATGGTGAATATGGTTAAAATGATACCTGCTTAACATCTGCATGTTGAGCATTTAGCTCAAAGTACCACTATGTTTAAGTAGCATGGCTGCAGACTATTATTCTTGTTAAAGTTAAATACTATGCCGTGCATTGTACTTGGATAATTTTACAATGGGGAGTCTTTTTGACTACAAGGATAAAAAAAGATGAGTCTAATCTACCCATCAATCCATTTTCTGCTGCTCATCTGGGGCTGGCAGCAGCAGGCTATGCTAGGTAGCCCAGACATCCCTCTCCCCAGCAATGTTTTCTCTTCCGGGCGGGATCTCTCCAGCGTGTTCTGGGTGTACACCGGGGTCTCCTACCAGTTGGACGTGTCCTGAAAACCTACCAAGAGAAGGAACCCAGGAGGATCCCAATCAGCTGCCCCAACCACCTCAACTGGCTCCTTTCGACTCGAAAGAACAACGGTACTACTCCGAACTCCCTCTGGAGCTTCGCCACAACGGTCCGGTCCAACGCCTGCATTACTGCTGATGCTGCACCAATCCACCTGATGACCTCACACGCCATTTTACCCTCACAAGATCCCGAGACACTTGAAGTCCTTCACTTGGGACAGCAACTCACCCCCAACCATGGTCTAGTCGAATCTAATATTACATATTACATTTATATGACATTACATTTACAATACATTTAACTTTAGATAGAACTAGCATTTATATAGTGCTGGAATCATGTGGTAAGTGGCAGTTTCTCTCATTTTTGAATGAAAATCAGTTATGTACATAAACATTAGACGTGTAGTGAACAGCAAAACAGTCATACCTGTAACCTACATAAACACAGTACAGCGACGATGGTTAGTAAGATGACTGTAGCCAGAATTCCTCCTGCGATGACCACTGTCCCGGCTGACATTCGAAATCCTCTCCATCAACAGCCTGCGGGGGGGAGGAGGATGAGGGGCATATGAAGAGGGGGAAAATAAGAGAAGGAGAAGGAGGAAAGTGGGATTAGAGAAAGGTCGAAGGAGACAGGGAGAGTAGCAGGAAACAAGGGAGAGAGTAGGAGAAAAGATTAAAGGGGAAATGGAACGGAGAGAAGAGTTAGGATGAGATGGTGAATAAGGAAGGAGTGAGGAACGAGAGAAGGAGGAGGGAGAGAGGTACAGGCCAGGAGCAAGGGAAGGTAAGGAGAGAAATGGAGGAACAGACGGAAATAAGATAATGAGAGGAAGGGGAAGAGGGAGTAAAGATGGAAGAAGGTCAAGGAGAGGGGAAGAGGAGATGGACAGTAAAGAGGTGAAAAGACACAAAAGGGAGATAAGAGATGAGGAAAATTGGTGGGGAGGAGAGAGAGTATAGTGAGAAGAGAGGAGAGGGGAGGAAGAGTAGAAGAGACAAGGGAAGAAGTGAAGACAAGATGAGAAACCAGGAGAAAGAAAGAAGGAATATAGGGAAGGAAAAAAGAAGAAAATGGGAGGAAGAGATGAGGGAAGACATGAAAAGATAAGGAGGAAAATTAAAAGTGGAGAAAGAAAGTAGATGAGGAGGAGGAAAAGAAGCAGAAGCAAAGCAGGAGAGAGAGAGGGTGAAAAGACAAAAAGATGAGGAAACAAGCATGTAAGACAAGGATGACAAGGAGGGCGTGAAGAGGAGAGAGGATACAAGAGGATACAAGAGAGATAATTATGATATAAAATTTTACGACTCCAATGTATAACTCCAAAATGTTTGAACTGGTTTCGCTTGCCAGCAGCCATTACTGAAAATACTGCTGATCGATAGTCATCTTTCTGTTCTGTTACGACTCAGCAAACACTTTGGGCAGTAAATTAAGCCGATCATAAAAATGAAGTTACAGTTAACAAAGTGCAAATATTAGCAGGTCTGATTCTGATGATGATGACTGATGATGAATACTCACAGTAATTACCACATGTGGGATGTCAGCAGCAGGAAACACATCTTTACTAATCTTTGAAGACTTGAGTAAAAAAATATTTTTCTATGAACAAAACCTTCCAGGCATGCCTACCAATTAATTTATGTTCTTATTTTGAAATATGAGTATGAGTGCAATCAGCTGACGACCCTCCCATTCAGCCATTTGCCTGCTGAGGTTGAAACAGGGGAAAGCAAGAACACCTAGCTTTGTACAAATGTAAAAAAAATAAAATGGTACCAGCACTTTTCAAGATCACTAATATATATGCTTCTGTTGTTCAATCCTTATAAAAACCAAAGTATAAAAACAACTACTAAAGGAAACAAGGTGTAAAAAACGTCACACTTCTTCCTCCTGACAGGCCAGTCATACTTCCTATGGTCCTTGTCAGGTAAACACAAACACATGCCGTCTCTGAGGACAGTCTCTAAAATGTTCATAACCAATAGCAAGAATGGTCAAAACTACAAAAACAAGTTGTTATAAACTGCATCAGTCAGGTTCAAAGCTATTAATGATACAGGCCTCGAGGTTCACAGACATTTTAATATTAGATGAAAATGTAAATAAGCCTCTTGGTTAGCATTTCATGGGCTAACTGCATTCCATTAAATATTTGGCATGTTTTACTTGAAGGCATTCAGCTGAGTGCTCCCAAAGCAACCTAACAATTAAACAATTAGCCAACAGAGCGCAAACCTCTGCAAACACAGAATCACTCTCCAACCTGCAGAGCTGCAGCCTCCAGGACTGTTTATGATGGCTTATAATGGTATTCCAACACGCTTTGGATAAAAAAAATTATAATCGTCTAGTGGATGAAAACTATATTCTGCACCTTCACCAGTATTAAAGCCGTTTTTTGCAAAAAATTGACATTAACTGCTGAATTTAAAAGATCTGCTTATAACTTTTCGAGAATGAAAATAGGAGCTAACTGAAGAGATAAATTTAGGACAGGGTTGATTTTTACACAGAAGAAGGAGAAATAATGAAGGAGCCACATGGTTCTTCAGTTTTTCCTTCATTTGTGAATGAAGACAAATCGTGTCTGTTTATAAAGTCCTTCAAATGATATCAGCGCCCGAGAGAGACATTATGCATTTTATTATTCACTTTTCCTTCATGTTTTATGCAACACCTCCAGTCCAAATCAGATTTAAGTGTCCATTAGCAAATGGAAAGAAAAATCAAAACACTAAAGAGACACAAGCAAATCTTCCTCAACCTTTAATGTGATGACAAATGGAAATGTAAGCAGTTCCCCTGTAGGCTTCTGCACTATTGTGCTCTCAGCAGTCAAATGTCCTCCTGAAGAGTGGAACCATTCATCCCTGTTAGATCAGTATTATGAATTTTAATTATGGATTGCTAATATTCAGCTTTCCCAGGAACCAAAGAAGCATTTAAAAAATGTGCACTGATGAATAATAAAGCACCGGCAGACAGCTGAAGAAAAAGTCACGTGAAGAGAGACGTGACTTATGTGAAGCCATCATCATCCCATTTCCTCTGCTTCCTGTGTGGGTGTGACAAGGGTCGGCAGGAGTGTGTAGTATCCGTGGGACTCTCATTCAACACGCCACAAATAGCCAAGGGGCAAAGATCTCTGTGAAATCTGGACGAACACGTAGTCTCCTGAGGAGATGTTGCAGGTAGATTCTACATGTAGAATAATGTGAAGGCTGATTTATGTGTTGTGCTCACTAGTGACAGCACCATTACTGCAGAATACATTTAAAAAATCAAAGCAGTGTAATTCTGCCAACATGACAAAAACAGAATTTGCTCAAAGAGAAACGTTTCTAGTTATAGCAAAACTTTCTTGATTCACAATACAAACATATCTAGTTAAAGCAAACATTTCTCATTATAACATGATAAGCATGTTCTCATAGCAATACGGTGTTGACACTAGAAGATCTAGAGATTGTGACCTACGTCGGGAACAAAAAAAAACATGCTTTATGGTTTAGGTTTTATTTGGTAAAAACATTGATGAAATTCTTCATTCAATAAAAATCCAATGCATGAAATTTTAAAAGTGGAATTTTGGGGCAAATTACCCAAAATTTAGGATAATCAGTTAAACAAAATTTACATTCAGAGATTTTTCTATAAAAAAATTTGCATTTAGGGATTGGTATCATTACAATATTAACTCTTATCGGTTTGGATCAATACTCTTTGGTTTTTCATTTTTGAAAGTGCTTTTTAAATACTATATTATTTAAAAAAAAAAAGAATAGATTTAGTTAACCTCATTCGCTTCACTGTCTCCACCACTGCCTTGCTTTGCTGCTGGCCGCTGAATTCGCTGTGTGTGTGTGTTTGTGTTTGAGCTCATCCCCGACACAGGAAGCAGGATTTCTATCATGTCATCATGATCATGAGGACAACGTTGACACAGAAACGTTATTTTGGGGACTGGTTCCAGGGACGCTGCAATGTCTCACCTTCCCTTTGGCTGCATGGACAGTAGCTGGATTTGTAGTGTGTTTAAGCACAGAAATTATATTTATTTATATATGAATATACAGTGTAAAACAGCTACACACAATTTCTCCCTTTAAAAAACACTGAATAGATTTTCAAAATCCCTCCCGACTTTTACTCCCAGAAAGGAGTTCCTCCACTGCTGGTGTGTCAGACGGGAAGAACATGCAAACTCCGCACAGAAAGGACGATCGGGGTCCCTACACAAGGTCTGTGTAGGGAGGAGGACTTTCACCCAAAAGACTGCTGTTCATATCCCATGTGAAGCAGCGAAGCTGACTCGATGCTGCCTATTAACCATAAATCTGTGTGCCTGGGGTAGCGCACGAGAAATGGACACAATCGTGCACAAACAAGACAAATTTGTCTACAAATGTAAGTTTTTTAAAAAGTTTTTCACTTCGATTTTTGAAAAGTTAGTGAGAATAAACACAAACTGCTTTATTAGCCCGTGACTGTAACCACCCAAGTTTGTTTGGTATGATTTCTGAGGGGTCTGTTAGCCATTTGCCTTTTCAATAGCTAGCTAGCTGACGCTAAGGCTAGTAACTGACAGCCAGAACAGAAGCAAGATGGCGTGCTGCCCTAAAAGGCTGTTCGAAACCAATGTTATTGGAAGATTCCTTCACTCGAAAGTGGTGCCTTCTGAGGCATCTGTCTATTACTGCAGCGAGGCATGGACGGCAATGGTAACGGTAGACAACATTGCTGTTCAAAGCTAAAATATTTTTACTTTTTGCCGTCGTCCATGAATTTACAACCATGACATTACATAGTTCAAGGAGAAAACATGGGAAAATGAGAAGATAATAATTTTGGTGCAACAACACCCGGAATAATATGATCAGAGCTTGAAATCCTACCGAGATATTAAAGCTGACAAATGGTAGGCAATCAGCACAAAGGTAGGTAATATTGAAAGTGTGTTAAGCCATATTACATTAGCGATCTGGCTAGCTATTAACATCACCATAGCAACATATTGTCATGTGTGTTTTGTTTTGTCGTCCTGTCATTGTGTTGTCCGTCTGTTTCAATCCATGTGAATGTAGCATAGTTCCTAAACTTGTTCATGTTACCCCCACATGGGCACACATGCATGTGAAGTAGAAGAAAAACACTCCGATGGGGTGACATGCCGTGCCGCCACACTTACATATTACACATTACATCAGGACGTGTATGTTTGAACTTGTCACCACTCAGAAGGTTCAGGTACACAACCAAACACCGCCATGAGCTGCTCCTCTCAGCACCCTGAGGCTCAACTAATCACTGGCTATTGCATTGGGATTCCATAACAACGGAGCCCACATCAGCATCGCCAAGGGCCAGAGAGTTGTTTACACCCACTCAGCCAGTCAGCATCACACACAAATCACGAGACACATACACTCAAAGGTCAGCATCCATCCTTCCATCCTTCAGTGCTTACTGAGAACACAACCTATCTGTCTTTTTAGAAATCTAAGAAATTTAACATCTTATAAAATAAATCTGATATAAGCACATGCACTGCCAAAAATCTCCATCTTACCAAGCACCCCTTGTCCATTGTTAAATTGCATTAGTCTAATTTTCTGATTATCTTATTTCAAACTGTTTCCAATACACCTCAACTTGTACTAAGACATTGGTATCTTGAAACAAAACAAAAAAAATAAGGTTGCTGCACAAGACTCAAGAAAAGTGAATCTTGATCCTAGAAAATTCTTAGTTTGTTAGTTGTTTGTGTTTCACCAGACTATCAGACTTTACTGTAATATTAAGATTACTGTAACCTGCTGATGCAGGTTACATGTGTTTTTAAAAGGCCAAAACCAACATTGATGATACAAAAATTTATTATGTGTGAATCCCAAGACCTTATGCCAAACATTAATCTGCAGCTGAAAATAGTCTCTTACAAATGCAGTATTTCCTCCTGTTTTTCATTTTTAATTTTTATAAAAACTATAGTGGCCAGCTGTTTTAGAAAATCACTGAGCAAAAAAATTTAAATTAATATTTATATTAATGCTATTTTTATTATTGTTATTATTGCAGTACATTGCTCAAATATCCTTACAGCAATATTATAGATGAGGAAACTATAAATTCTACATTGAAACAGGGCCATACTGCATTTCTGAAAACTGAAGTTATATTCTGGGTAATTTTTGTGTCTCAAAAGCAGTCAAATTTAAATATATATTTAATTTGGCTGCTTTTAGGCCAATAAATAATTAAAGCAATCGGTACTTCTTCCCCAGAATTTTATTGCAGACAGTGTGGAGAAGACCTTAGACCTTTATACTGTCAGATAGGGTCGGCAGACAAATGAACTGTTAAATTAAAGAATTAAAGGTTAAAATACAAATAACTGAAACATGACAAGACCTTTTATTTAGTCTCTGGTCAAAATGTTCAAAGGGGGTGAGAGTATGGTGGACTTGGTGGACCCTGGATCCCGGTTCTAGCCCCGTATTGAGCCGGTAGACACAATAACCTATCAATTCCTAAAGCACCATCATTTATAAAACGAAATTGTCATACCACGACAGTCACCGGACACTGGAACTTGCGCAAACGTGCACGCACACGTACACACAAATGATTGGCATTTGAGCAGAATAACAGATGTGATATGATTATAACAAAACATCAATAAATCATAATATTCAGTTCTTCTTTGCAGGAGGTGGGCTACATGGAGTTTCACTTTAACATCCACATTTACACTCGTCCGTTCAATAAGTTCCAGCAGCCTCCTGCACTCAGGTTTCAGGGTGTTGATTCACACATCAGTACCACACACACTCTCACACACAAGATCAACCAATTACTTTCTATCAGCTAGTAAACGCTGTAATTATGTTTGCAGGTTATTCATGCAGGTTAAAGTTAAGTTCTCTTCTTTTTTTGAACGACATTTGCATAGAAATATTGAAATATATTCTTGATTTCCGCGCGTAAAAGCGGTGGCCACTATAGACAAAATTACGACACCCGAAAGATATTTGTTTTAATTGAATACTCGATTACTGTATAATTTACTGAAATGAAATTCCATATAGTTATTGGAGCGCTCTTTTTACGCATTTGGAAAGCTTTCTAGCATCATATGGCACAAACCGCTAAACAACAGTTTTCTGGCACTTTGTGCCTTCACCACCCAGTTTGCTTCTCAGTGCACCGCAGGAGTCACAGACACTTCCATGTAAACAGCTTGTAATCTTACCCATCACATTAGTATTCAGATCGTCCCATGGCGTCCCCTGCGGCACTTCCAGCTCGGGGCGCCCCGGTTTGCAGGCGGAGGTGACGGGTAGGAGGGTCGAGTTTCAGCTAGGAGAGGTTTTACCAAACCTATAACGCTCAGCTAACAGCAGCGTTTTACATCCACACACACATCTGACCTGTAAGAATGAGGAGCAGAGATCTGACTCGGTGCGTCAAAGAGGGGAAAAAGAGCACATTTGTCTTCACATTTCTTCTGTAATTTCACAACCTGTGCTTTGTTCCACAGCTGGAGATGTTTGAAACGCGTCGGGTTTGCTGGCGAGAAAATCTGACAAAACTTTAACTTAATGAAGAACTGTTTCCTTCGTTGTTTCGTTTATTATTTTCCAGCTATAAGTGCAGAGCTGAATGCTTAAAAAAAAAGATGTTCAATTCATTAAAATCCCACAATTCTGAAATACTTCCTCTGCAGGTCCACAGTTTTTCTCTTGGCTTTAGTCTCAACAAAACCTTCAGAGAGAAAAAAAGAGAAAACCAATTAGCAGCTGATCCAAACTCACGCAGGAGGATGAGTTGCTAAGAGAAATGCTCGGGTCCGCTTATAATTAATTGGGAGATGTATGTTCTGCACACCGGATCCGGTCTCATCCTGTCTGCGTTGCAGCGCGTTCATTTCCGATGCTGACCTGACTGGAAGTGACCGTGCGTCACAGGAGCGCGCGCTGCAAAAATACCTGGAGGATGCATCCAAGTCGCTTCAAATCCCGGTTGTGGTCATTTTAATTTGACTATGTACTGAATTAAGTGACATCTTGCTGATAGTGGTGGAATGATCTGTGTAATTCGGTCTTATTTTCAGGGGGGAAATATGTTTCACTACACTGGAAGATAGGCCTAGAGAAACAGTCTAACTAATTTATGGACATTTGCATTTAATATCTAGTGAAAATAACATTTTAGCATCACATTCTCCAACTGAATTGCTTGCTAAAAATGATATTTCTGCACCTTTACAAGCTATTTTAGGTGATTTTCACATGTTGCACTGGTCAACTATTCACATATTTATTGACATTAAGTAGTAGGATTTGATCTATGTAGGATAACACCAGCCAGTTGTAGCTTTAGACTTGTTGAAGTATCAGTTTACAGAAGACAGAACTTCTGTAAGGACTCTGAATTAAATGTGGAATAGTTCATGTCAGGATTTCCAGACTGTCTTCTGTGGCTGTTCCTCTCGCTATCTCCTCTCTCTCTTCCATCACTCCACTTTGAGCCCTACCAGGAAAAGACGAGTCTACAGCAGGCCGAGAAAGAAAATATTTTAATGTGTGAATTATTTAGAGGTTAAAGCAGGCTGAGATTCCACTGTATTGTACATACAAGAATTTGTAATATTAATGAGTGGAGACGTTAGAGGTTATTTCTCCTCTTTTCTGCTGCTCCTGCTGTGCTTCAACACATCCAGTCGCTCCCAGTGGAAGCTGCTGCTCTGAGGAGAAAAACCTGATTTTTGAGTCAGACTTGAACTTGCGGAACAGAGAAAGTCTGAGGATGTCGACATGGTGATCTGTGTTCTGCGTTGGTCACATAACATAGACAAAAATTAATAAGAAAAGTTGTAAATTGATTGTACAACATTGCAACTTACTTTTTTTGGTGTAAGCATCTCTCATTGTTTGAGATGCCTAAAACGAAAATATGTCTGGTATGAGTCTTGCCTGTTAGTCACAAAACCTCTTTGGGAGGAGGACGGATCGGATAGATCAACAAATCATACAACTTTAACTCAGGAGACAGGAGAATGTTGTTTGCCTTCCATTTCCGATCACCATTTGTTTCTTTCAATCATGACCATGATCTTTCCCCAACCTAACCTTTATCCTAGCAGTGGCAGATCAGAAAACACTCACATGAGTCTTGTGCTTATAGGGGTGATAGATCAGATGGGTCATTTTGAAAGGCAATTATACATTATTATATTTTGTATAACATTTTGTTAAATTTGGAGGTCTTAGTGCTCTTTGACTTTGGAGACAGCTGTGTTCGCATCAGCTGTGTTCGCATCAGCTTGTCCTCACCAGAAAAGATTGTATATGTTGTCTATTTAAGCAGCTAATTGCGATCCGATCCACTTTTACTTTGTTGTAGCCATATGACTATAGCAAAGGAAGTCAGGTGACAGTGCATTAAGAGCAAGAAAGTTAAAGAAAGCAAGGATGGGCGGGACAAACCCATGAGACCAGTTTTCAAGTCCAATGTGAAACCAACTCAAAGCGTTACGAACTTACGTCACATACTTATTTACATTTTAATCCAAACCACAATGTTTTCCTAAAACCAATCATGTCGTCTTCTTTCCTAAACCTAATATATATGTTTAACATCATGTGACTTCTGTCATGTGACTTAAGTAACGTAGTTAAGATCTGGTGCGACTGACGCTGGTGTGGTACTTTCCAATGGTCTTATACTATATGTGATTTTGGGAAATGGTTGTATGTGTCATTTTTGGGGGCATTAACAAACAACCCATTTTGTCATTTAGGTATGAGGATATGTTGGATCACATCTTGTCTACAACTGTTTTATCATTTAGGTTGGAGAACATGTTGGTAAAAAATGTTCACAGATGATTTCACATGAGGTGAAATGAGGCCAAATGTTTCAAGTCTGAAACACATAATACGAACATGAGAACTGCTGTGTTCCTCCTGCTGTTAACAGAATACTCACTACACTGATTTAGCATTGCACACATGGTAACATGTCGGACTAACTATGAGCAGTTTTGTTTTTCAGTAAAAAAGATGCACCAGAGATATCGTCTCTTTTATTCCACACATTATTATTCCTAGTTAAAACCAGGTGCCTAGGTTACCCACAGTGCAACTAGACTGTGGACAGTTCGGCCTGATATTGTGGTGTGTTGTGCTAGTACGGGCTAATGGAGCTAGGAGCCTCTTTCCTGCAGCAGAGATGAGGAGCTGGCTATAGAGGTCCGGTAAGATGACTAATTTCTCTTAGGTGTCACTGTTTAGTAGACATGATCAAATTTAATTAAACAAGAAATTGAAGTAGCAATGGTTTAAAGTTTTGATAAATTAAGATACAGACAATGCTGTTAAAAAAGAATCAGCAACTCTTTGTTCTCCTCGTCACTCCTCCACCTCTGTCCTCTCACTGCCTGTCCAATGGCATCGCTCAATAAGACAAACAGGGTCTCAGTGTAAGTTATACACTTAGCATTGATTCCCATGGATTAGCTTACAGTAGGGACAGTCTACACCCGACAAGGTCAAGTTACAGGTCAGCACTGATGAGGCAAAGACTGATACAGACGATGCATTTACTGTGTCAGACGGAGCTTTTACAGTGAAGAGCAACTGACTCAACCGAACAACAGCTTTTGATTAATTTGTACTTTCTTTAAGGAAACGGAAAAAGAGGTCTTCAGTGAAATAGGCTGACCATTTTCAGGCCAGGCACACTTCCAATAAAGGAAAGTCCTTTCCAAGAGTGAAATGAGAGGATCAATATTAATAGTTACAAAATAACCACAGAGATGTGTCATCAAAAATGTTAGAAATCCCAAAAATATATAAACCAAAAGTTTTTTTTTTAAAGTAACTTATCCAATTTTGGATGCTATATGAGAAGTGTAGCTGTATACCTTTTATTATAGAGCAATGGCATAGTCAGTCTTTCTGTCAGTCAGTCCACCACTTTGACTTTTGCAGACTACAATAAACAACAATCAGATGTATTGCCATGAAATTCCGTATATTCATAGTCCCTAGACGATGTAGGTTATTATTTTGCGCTATCCTTTAGTGATCCCCTTGCTTTTCATGAAGGCAAAGACATTCCTATCAGCTTATGTGTATAGTGCCAATTAGCAAATGACAGCATAACTCTAGACTCTTATTATTGTTGTTCAATTACTTGACTATGATGTCATGGTGTGACTAGTTTTGTAGTTCCATATACCTTGTTCTTTGTCATGTTGGTTATTCACCTGATGAAGACCTTTGAAATGTTGCCAGTTTTTCCATCCAATAAAATTCTGGCTGCTGTAATCCAGTGTGCAAATTTATTTTTAACTTGCACATAAACAAAAATATAAAAACAGCAGCTTGTGATTTTAGGGGGAGGTAGGCTACGTGCTAGAATTGTTTCCTGGCAATCAACAGCCGGGGGCAGTCACTGGGCCTTTCCGAAATTAGACCCATGCCACTTCCATTCTGATATGGAGTGTACTTTGGTCGGAGTCAGCCTCACAGCCAAATCGAGCTCCCTAACGCAGGTTAGGGTATAAATACAGGGGCCAACTTTGAGACAAACTTCCCTCTCCCGCCAGCGTAAATAGCATCTGACGTTACCGCTGCACTCACTGCTATGTGTATGAAATAAACAACAGTTGGATTAAGATTCTGGATTGATGATGAGGAAAAATGGTTTTCTTTCAATAACGAAACTGAAAGCATTTTTCATTTATTTTGTTTCTATTTATGAACCAAATTATTTTGGTTATATGTCGAAAATTTCTTTAAGACTATGACTTTAGTTATTTATATAAGAAATATTATATTCTTTTATGAAAAGATTGATATTCATACTAAATGAAAAGCCTATATATTTGAACCTCTATTTTAAATTTAAAACAGTTAAAATGTATGTAAGACTTAACGATTTTTCTTTAAAGCCTTTGTTGCTTGTTACATGATCCCCCTTTGTATCTAGTTGTGTCATGTTCTAGTATTCTGCCTTTCTGACGTTAGCCTATTTTGTTCTGGCTGAAGATTTTCGTATGAATACAATTCAATAAAAACAACAGTTAGATTGTCATCGGACAAGAGCATGTTTTTTATCAAACACAATATGACCTTTGGGCTACGTTGTTAACCTGTGAATGGTGATATGAAATGTTAGTGTAGTTTTGGAATTTAAAAATACTACATGTTAACCGACGAAGTCACAATTCAAATTTGAAAGAAAGGTCCCCCATCGTGCAGCAAAGGCTGTTACACACCTTCAGCAAGCCGGCATCGGTGCTCACTCGGCATTGGAGGGTTTAACAACCCACTACCACTCCACCCTTGTTGGTTTCTGATGGCACTCAATGTGGCCGACCCTCCACATGAACCCGCAAACGGAGTGGAAGTAGGTAGGGAGAGGAAGTAGCAACCAGTTTCAGAAAGGCCCACTGTGTGCAGGATCACAGAGTGTTGTCATTGCATTTATGTTGCCAAATTTGTTACTTTTGTGCCTGTATAGAAACCAAAACCAAAACCTGGGCTTTCTGACAGTATCTGGCAACCCATACTAGAGAAGCGGTCCAGAAGTAGCGAGTGTATAAATACATTTTTGTTTCATCAAGAAATTGTTGCAGCACCAAGTCTTCAAGTCTTTATGCTTATCTAGCTTACCTGCTAACTAGGCTAACTAAGCAACAAGACAAGCATGTTGCATGATGTTAAATTCTGTCATTCATAAGTTTGGTTTCTTTATTCTGCTTTGCTTCCTCTTCCTTCGCAAGGAGGCGAGGATCTGTGTCCTCCAGCATTTGTTCCACTCTAGTTCATAATCCTGACTGACTCAGAGGAGTTGCAGAATCCTTAATGTGACACAACATCATGATACCC